CCCTCACTCCCGGCTGCTGGGGACTCTAGCTACAAGGAGTGTTCAAAATATCTGGTAATGTTCACATTTTAAAAATTCATTACAGTTGAAGACACAGTGCCACTAATCTCCCTCAAAACATTCCCCTTTGCTTTTTTTTTTTTTTTTTTAATCTTTTGGAGACAGGGTCTCGTTATGCAGTTCAGACTGGCCTTGAGCTCACTTTATAGCACAGGTTGGCCTGGAACTCGCAGATCCTCCTGTCTCAGCCTCCCAAGTGCTGGGATTACAGGCGTGCGCCACCACGCCCGGGTCCCCTTTGCTTTGAACACACCTCCTTGTCATTGCTCCTTTCTGAAGCAGTTGTGAAGTCCTCTTCCTGTAGTTGTGCTGCCCTGGCTCCCCTTAGGTCCTGACAGATTCAAAATACTTACCTTTCCTGGCCGTTTTGTGTTGGGGGAGGAGCACACAGCCCTGGACGGTGACAGAGCGTAGTGTTTCCAGGAGCCCGTCTTTCCGTTGGCTGGCACTCGGTAAGAGCATTCACCGGAGTTTTTAAGCCACACCTCTTGAGGACCCTCCTGAAGGGAGGGGTGCCACGGGCGTCTGCCGAGCAGAGCCAGGCGCGGCTGCACGTCCCTCCTACAACGCGGCCCACAACGCTCCGGCAGCTCCCTCCCGCCGACAGACAACCACCAGGCCCAGCGTGTCAGTAGAGACGGCGGTGGCGACACCGGGCTTTCTTGCTGACCCTGAAGCCGCGGGAGATGAGCAGGCTGAAGTCCACCCCAGGGAACAGGAGTGTGTGGATTTATTCCGTGAAAACTGTCAGGCTCGGAGCAAGTTCCACAAGACAGGGGTGGTCCCCGGCCCGGCAGACGAGCTCACACCGTGGGGCCCTCTAGAGCCAGCGCTGCCCGGACCCAGGTGCCTTCGGGTGCCCTGTGAATCACCTTTTCAGAGTTTCCCGGCAGCTCTTAAAGCTGGGATCATTTTTTTCCCATTGTACAGCTGGGAAGACTGAGGTTTAGAGGCAAAGGATGCAGTACTGTGGTGCGTAATGGGATGCTTGTAAAAAAATCATTTCAACATCATTTTGAGGCTCAATTTCCTTATCTGTAAAATAACAACATATACCTTATAAACTTTGTATTGTAGGGTTTAGAAATAAAAAACGTGCTATAAGCCCTTAACCCGGGACTCCACTCACACTGAACGTTTTGCAAATAGCTTTCGCTGATGCAATGACCAGTGCGCCCCCTGGCGGTGCGAAGCGGAGCTGCACGGCAGCTACGCCAGGGTCAAAGCTCGCACTTTTCCAGGGCCCGACGCCCACGCGCAGGTACCCCCAAACTGCTGAGAGAGGGAGATTCTGGGGGTCACCGGAGGCGCAGGGACAGTCCTGGGGTAGGAGTCGGTGATGGGAGTTGAGATTCGCTGAGCAGTTCAGTCCTTCTCTGCAGCGACCGAAAGAATATTCTGAGACCACCTTGGGGACAGCAGACTTTGGCCCTTGGTCCTACAGGCTTGAGACGGGGTGAGACCTCCGCGTTTCGGGGTCCCCGAGGGTGGGCCCGGGGCTCGAACCCCGTACCTGGACTGGCCAGGCCTGCGAGGGGCGTGGCCTCCGCTTGCTCTTTGCCCCTGGAGCACCAAGGGCTCCAGCCGCCAATGTAAATACCCTTACCTGGACAGGGGCAGGTTTCTGGGAAGCAGGGTTTCCGACAGAGAATTTCCCTTGGGAAGATTTGCCTGCCCCTCGGAACTGCTCCTGAGACGGGCCCCTCCTGTCCTGATTCATTTGCACCCGAGGCCGGGTTCATCCGACATGCCGGGCTGCACACGTGGGCCGCAGCAGCGGGACAGATGACCTCCCCAGACAGACGCACAGGTCCTTGGGAGACGATGTAACCTTTCCACTGGGAATGTATTACTGTGGGTTCACTCATTTTTCCTGTCACGGGTACCTGCATATTTTTACACTTTTGGCCATTGCTACAGTGCTGACACTTGTGTCCTGCACCTTTCCCTGGGTGTGTCTGGAGTGGACCTGCTGAGTCACGCTGCAGGTGGCCGGCAGGTTGTGTGTGCGTGTGTGTGTGTGTGTGTGTGTGTGTGTGTGTGTGTGTGGTGCTGAGGACTGAATCCAGGGCCTTCACACTGACCTACGTTCCTGGCCCTCGTTTGTTTGTTCATAGACAGGGTCTCCCTAAATCACTGAAGTTGCTCAGGCTGGGCTGGGACCTGCCATTCTCCTGCCTCAGCCTCCCAGAGCGCTGGGACTGCAGGTGTGCCCCACCGCGCCCGGTGCCCCGCCAAGTCTTCAGAGTAGTTGCACAAACTGGGCTGCAGCCGCCCGTGCGAGTTCTGGCTGCCCGTGTCCCGTGACACGGGGCCTTGTCCGTGTGAGAATGAAAACTTCAGCTGCACACAGCAGCCCGGCAGAAGCTCGCAGACACGAGGTGGGGAACACACCAGCGCTGGAAGGAGCCCTGGGTCTACGGGAGCCTCAGAGTGGGCAGGACTCGTGGGGTGCGGTGGCCAGCGGCACATGGGGCCGGCTCTGGGGTGCTTTGAATGCGCAGTTTCTTAAACTGGGTGCTGGCTACACAGATGTATCCTCGTCCCGAAAAGTGATCAGGCTGCACACGTAGGATCCACGCGCTTCCCCACACGTTACGCTCTTCGTTAGGTGCTGGGGGTGAGAGCCAGGGCCCTGGGCGTGCTGGCCGGTGCTCGCCACTGCCTGACCAGAAGAAATAAGAACACATTGCACGAGATGTTCCCACTCTAGTTCTCCCTCCTCGCAGCCCTGGGTCGGGCCCTGGCCCCGTCAGAGTGCCCCGCGTGGCGGGGTGACCGCACGGAGGCACAGGGCCTGCTGGGAGTTTGGCTGTGTCTGTCTTTGAACAGCTCCTTCCCCTCCTGTTGTGTGGGGCTGGGGTGTCATGGCGCTGGCCCCGTCTCCAGACCCCTGGTCCCGGGCTTGGCCCTTGGCGGGCACCTGGGACAGGGCAAGATGGTTCTCAGAGGACAGGAGGTGTTGTGCCAGCTCTGCCTCCGGTGGGCAGCTAGCAGTGATGCCCCCGCAGGTGGCTGGCTGGTCACCCGCAGGCCCTGCACGGCGCTCCCCGGGGCTGCACTCCTGCCCTTCTACCTGCTGTTTTAGAATTTGTAATAAAATATATAGGACAGCAAACCGGCCACTTTCAGCACCGGGAAGGGGACAGCCCAGCGGCATTGTACAACCGTCCCCACCGTCCATCCCCAGAACGAGCCACGCTCCCGAATTGCGCTCCACGCCCGTGAAACGCAAACTCCCACTCCCTCGCACTCGCTTCTGTGCTTTTCTCTTGCTGGCTGAGCCTCTTTCCCTCTGATAAGAAACAGCACACATCGGGAGGCTGAGGCAGGAGGATCGCTGGGAGTTTGAGGCCAGCCTAGGCTATACAGTGAGTTGAAGGCCAGTCTCAACTACAGAGGAAAACCTTGTCTGAAAAAAAACAAAAAGGAAACAAACAAAAAACACACATGTGCTGGAGGAAGTGGTGAGAATATCACGTTTTCATTGAATAAATAAAAGCTGTGGGATATAATTTAAGCATGGGTCACCCCTTAGGCTAGTAAATTCTCTACATCCAGTGCATGTAGCTGGGTCCAAAATCTGTTTGTTGACTGACTGAAGCATGAATAACTCTTCCAGCAATCATAAAATATTGGCTCTTTACTGAGGGCTTACCCTATTCTATGCACTGTTAATGCTCAGAAAGGATCGAAAAATGTACCTGGCCCTCAATATCGTTTCTTCTTTTTATAAGCATTTCAAATCTAGCCCTGCCTCAGTTACCTGCTCAGGTAACTGTTTTTAAGTGAGAAACAAGCTCAGAGACACCGTGTCCTGCCCGAGGTCACACAGCTGGAAGATGTTCCTTGGCATGGGCTGCTTCAAGGCTCAGCGGCTCTCTATGTATTTTGCGGTGCCTTCCCATGCAGTGAACCCAGAGAAGATTTCTGACCAATTTTTTGTTTTAATTTAAATAAAACTATTTTTCTTTTTTCTTTCTTTTTTCTGGGGGGGGTTCTTTTTTGAGACAGAGTCTCCCTATGCAGTTCAGGCTGGCCTTGAACTCACTTTGTAGCCCAGGTCTTGAATGTGAAAGGATTCTCCTGCCTCAGCCTTGCGGGTGCTGGGATTACAGGTGTGTGCCACGTGTACTCTTTTTTATATGTATTTATGATCAGGGCTGGGGATTTAGCTCAGCGGCACAGCGCCTGCTCGGCAAGCACAAGGTCATGAGTTCGATTCCTGGTGCTGGGGGCGAAAAGCAAACAAACAAATATTTATTTTTGATCCTTCTGCCTCAGCCTCCCAAGTACCTTGGATGACAGGTGTGCACCACCACGCCCAGCTAGATATGTACTCTAAAAAAAAAAAAAAGACACTTTAGAAAGTGAAAATTGGACTTTTTAAGGCGTTTTCGGATGTTCACTCAAGACTCATGGTTACTCTGCCCGTGGGTAGCAGGATTGGGAAGCCAGCTTCCAAGCCGAGGTTTGTCCCCAGGTCCATCAATAGCGTGAGGTTCCATCCCTGCCCATCTTCTGGGAGAGCAGAGGGCCGGGAAGGCCACACCCGGTTCCCATCAGAGCTTGTTTTCAATGCCGCAGACCAGCCACCTGCGGCCAGGCACGGGGCAGTTTTCTGAGTATTGGTTTCTTACGGGGACATGGGTGCAATAAGGAAGCTGTCAACTGAAACTGTTTTTTTCCAGGGGAGCCGAGCTAAGTCTCCTATCACCCGTGCAGCGGGCAAGCTTGGCAGGGCTGAAACCGGTGGCGCGGGGGGGGGGGCGGGGCCCGGCTCCTGGGATTGGCTGTCCCCAATCTCAGTTTCTAGGAGGCCGCCCTATATAGACCAAAGTGTCCTGGGCCACTGCCAGCGGCAGCAGCAGCAGCAGGGGCAGCATCTCCCCGGGACAGCTGGAGCAGCCCCGCTAGGAGCAGCTTCCGGCATTGCCCAGCACACAGCCCTTGGTCTGGAGATCCCAGCCCAGGGCAACTCCAGACGCAAGCAACCTCCGTGGGTCAAGGTAGGTGAAATGCTGCCCTCTTCCTCCGGGGCTGGAGGAGTCGGGTATCTTGGGGTCCTGAAAGGAGAGTAGAGCCAGGAGTCAGACCCTGAGCCCAGATCTCCAGGCTGGATGAGACAGTGGGCCGTGGGGTGGCCGGCTAGGGGACCCAGCGGCGGGGCTGGAGGATAAGCCATCGCCCCACCGCTCCTCAGGCAGGGTGGCGCTGTCCGAGGCCTTGGGTAGGGGACGAGGTTGGGTGGGGCGGGTGGAGGGGGACAACATCCGGGTGAGCTGGAGAGGAGTGGTGATTGTTTTGGGGTTCTCCAGCTTTCTGAATGACATCCCCTAGGGCCCCACCCAGTATGCCCGTGTGCCCCAAGGCTCACCGGTGGGGAGTGTATACCGCGGTAAGGGGCGTGCTGCGTGTGCACCCTGCTGGGCCTGCAGTGCGCGGGCCAGAACCTTCTGTCTGCCCACGCCTGGGCCCGGTGCCGCAGTGGGCAGGGACCAGCCGGGGTTCTCTAGGGAAGCGTGTGACAGGTCTGGAAGCCCCCACAGACCCAGGCATCAGGGCAACAGCTGGAACCCACATCTCCAGGGGCAACGTGGCTTCTCCTAGGTGCAGGAGGGATGATCACCACCAGCTTGCGCTCAGCCTAAGGTGGACGACCCCTAAAATCCAGCTGGGCCACTGTGGCCTATTCTGCCTGGGAGGGAGGTGACCCCCTGAGCACGTGGTCCAGGAGAGGCTGCAGGCCTCCTGCAGGGGGTGTGGGAGGTGGGTGAGGCCCTTCCGCATCCCCTCCCTAGGAGCCTGTGAGGGGCCCCAGGAAAGAGAGGTGACACCTTGAGTTGTTGCTGTGGAACACCTGGGAGGTAGGTGTGGAGCAGGGTGGGTCAGTGTCTCGGGACCAGCTGTCCATTTGTTCCCCCTCCAGGGCCTTGTAGAGGTTGAAGGTCCCCCAGGGGCCAGGTGCTTCCTGTCCAGGGGCTGCGGCGGGGCAGGTGCCCAGGCCTGGGGATATGAGAGTGTGTGGCTGTGCGGGGTGGTGGTGGATGTGTGTGTGTGGTGTGGCCTCTGCCAGCAGGAAGCAACAGGGTAGTTCCCCAGGTGTGTGCGTGTGCACGTGTGTGTGTGTGCGTGTGTGTAGGGAGAGAAGAAAGGCCGCGGGGAGGAGGCTGGTTTGTGTTCGCGCGCATCTGGGCATTGTGTATTCATTCCAAGCTCCCAGGGCCTCCCAGAAGCAGGAGGGGAGGGAAACCCCAGCCGGACAGGGGGCCGATGGCAAATGGTCAACTTGGCCATCTGATTGTTCCCGTGCACTTGGGACAGAGAAAATAGTGGTGTGAGCTTGTGTGGGTTCCGTGGGTACCACAGGAGCTCACACGCGTGTGCCACACACGCCGTCCTCCGCTGTTCACTCACTGCCGGCTGTGTAAAGGGCAGGGTGGAGCAAGGCGGCGACATCGCTAGGACACAGAGCCACGTGGTGAGAGTAACAGGGCCAGGTGACTGCGCAAGAAAGCAGCCTACAGATGAGGTCAGCCTGCAGCTTAGAAAACAAGACCCAGCCCCGCGCTGGGGAAAGCAGGTGACTGCTGGCTCCGGGGCGGCCTCCCGCGATTTCTCTGGCCGCTGCTGGACTCGGCTCTGCGTGACGTCATGCCTCAGCGGTCCTGTGATCTGCGGATCCCCGGGTATTTCTGGGTTGATTTGGACTTTGCTCTGAAATCTGCCCTCGGCCAAGGCAATAAAGGTGTTTACAAGATCGGCTTGGTTTCCAAGCACGAGGGTGGCCAGGGCAGCGGGGGTTTCCTGAGAGTCGGGCTGAGCAACTTGGATACAAAACAAGAAAAAGTGAAAGGAGAGAGAAAGTCTTGCTTTGCTTAGTCCCGGATAAGCAAAATTTTACACTCAGAACATCCAGAAAGATTGGACTGTGGTCCATGTAGCATGGGAAAGGTGGCACATACTGAAAGTCTCCACTAAGCCAGGCGTGGTGGCGCACACCTGTACTCCCAGCCCTCGGAAGGCTGAGGCAGGAGGATCCCCATGAGTTCTCCCTGCTTCTGGGACAGCAGCAGCACCTGGGATTGGCTGTTCTTAGTTTCACCTCTGGCTGGGTCAGGCAGCAGGTTGTTCCAAGGAGAGGGAAGCCACATCCAGGCAGTTTTCCTGAAAAAAACCATCAAGAAAGGACCGGAGGGGGATTGAGAAAACCTGGTACCCAGACAATTGTCTAACCTACAGCAAATGGGCCGGGGAAACCTTCTGGGGTGGAATTCTTTGGCTGGTCTGAGTAGGGGCGGCAGCATGTCCTTTGAAGGTGGTAGCCAGATCCAGTATAGGCAAAAACGATTTCCATAGTGATGGCAGCTTTTAAAAAGATTACTGCTCTTCTCTCCCCATTAGCAGGGTGAGGGTGCTCTGACCTCCGTGGGCTGGGCCCTCTCAAACCAAGTTGGTGCAGGAAGAAGAGGGCCTGAGCCGAACACAGGCGTCCTGTGATCTTAAAATCAAACAGCCCCTCAGCCAGGTGTGCTGGTGCACACCTGTAATGCCAGCACTCGGGAGGCTGAGGCAGGAGGATCACTTCGAGTTTGAGGCCAGCCCGGGCTGCATCATGAGACCCTGTCTCAAAAACAAACAAGACAAAACAAAAAATCAAATAGTCCTGCAAACCTAAATTTATCTTAAGACTGTGTGCTGCTAAAGAGAGCAGATGGGATAGAGCATTCTGTCGTCAGCGCCAACCTCCCTGCCTGGCCCGGAGGCCAGTGTATCCTCACAGCCGTGTCTCCTCCGCGTCTGTCTCCCTGGCACCGAGCTCAATTCCTGGTGCGTGGGGTTTGCTTAGGAAGTGCTTGCTGAAAGAAATCATAGGACCCAAGACCACCGTTTTCCTTTCGATTTCCTCTGGCCCCTCCCCACCGCGTTTGGGAAGCACCGCCAGGCTCCAAGCTTTCCAGGACAGGCATCAATTTCCAGGCTAGGTGCAGGTGCCGATTGCTCTGGGTCCCAAGGCACACAGATGGTCCTCTTAAGGGACACTGAAGGACACATCCCACCTGCCAAGTCGCTGCCTTCCTCTGCCTTGGCCTGACGTTTCATCCAAGGTGCCCTGTGGCAGACACCCAGCAGTACTGCTGGTCCTGATGGCTGTGGCCTCTGGGGACCCTCAGCTGCAGCCCCTCCCAGTCCTTCCTCCTCAAATGGGGGCCAGACGGAGGAGGGCAGGTGTCCTTGTGTCACCCTCGAATCTCTCTAGAAAATTAGGGTTTTCCTACTATTTGTTTACTTACTTAGAGACAAGGTCTCACTATGCAGTTCAGGCTGGATTTGAACTCACTATGTAGCCCAGGCCGACCTTGAACTCGCAGTGATCTTCCTGCCTCAGCCTCCCGAGATGACAGGCGTGCGCCACCACACCTTGTTCTACTCTTCATGTAGAGAGTAGCCTTTCTTACACCCCCATGCCTTGTATGAAATTGCATTTACAGATTCTTCTTTTTGCCTCTGTGCTGGGCATATTCATAGAGTACATTTTAGAGTAAATGGATCAGTTGGTCAAGGCAGGGGATATGGTTTAAATACATAATTTACACCCCACACCACTGAATACTATGTAGTCAGGGTGCGATAAAGCTATAACGGCAAATTGGGGTAGACAGCCCGTGGGCATCAACTCCACAGGAGTTTCTGGGAGCTCAGTTTTAGGATTCAGAATCATATTTTATTTCTCTTTTGATTCCTGCCACAGGGCTTCTGCACGCATTTTGGAAAGATGAGAGAGCCCCAGGAGTTTCAGATTCAATACACACAAATTAAGCACAGTGTCCAGACCCAACCTACTCCGGATGCTGCCAGCCAGAGGGGGCGGGTCCTTTGGTCTTTTCCATTGGCAGCTGCTGCGTGGGACCCTAGCGGCTCTGACATGGGAGTAGCTGAATGTATTTATTCCATGTTAACCATGGATGGAAGCCACCTTCCCTATTGTACAGTTCCCTGTGTGTGTATTGTGTTGTGCGTGTATTCGTGTGTTTAGTAAGAGCTTATTGTGTGCCAGTGATGTACCAGGCATTGTTCAGGGCCCCTGGGATACAAAGCTTAGTACAACAGGCAGAGGGGAGAGAGTGCAGCTCAGAGGACAAGCGCTCAAACATGGAATGTATGAGGTTATAACAGAAGGGGGCTGGGTAGCGGGGAGAGGGTACAGTAATGGGAGCTGAAAGGGAAAGGAGAAGGTGGCATTTTAGCAGAGTCCTTAAGGATGTGAAGGAACAAGCCATCAGGCCGCGGGCGGGGAGAGAACGTTCTGGAATATTCTGGTCAGAGTGAAGGCCCTGGGGCAGAGCAGGCCTGAAGGACAACAAGCTGGGCCAAGTGAGTGGAGTGAGAGAGTGAGGTATTTGGAGGTAACAAGGGCCAGGCCGTGTGGGGCCTCTAAAAAGCCTTGGGCCCTGGGTGGAAAGGGCGCCATTGCAGGCAGCAGAATGACGCACTTGAGTGTGTTTTTAAAGCCCCTGTGGCTGCTGAGTGGAGGTCGTGGAGCAGAAGGTGGAAGGGGGCGGGAGGACCAAGCCGGGTGGCAGCAGGTGACGTGCTTCGGAAGGGAGGCCGGCGGGCTTTGCGGGCTTTGCGGATGGGTCAGATGTGGGGCTGAGAGAGAGGGAAGTGTCAGGCAGGACTTTGCTTTTGGCCTGAGCCTTCAGAAGCACGGAGAAGCCATTTACGCAGCTGTCCCAGGAAATAGGCACCGTGGCCTAGAGGCTCTGCACCATCGAAGATGTGTGAGTGTCCCCAGATCCCAAAAAAAGTAAAGCTGGCTCTGGCTCCAGGGTATTAGTTTCCTGTTGCTGCTGTAACAAAATCCCACTGACTTGGTAGAATTAACACAGGTTGGTTATCTTTAGTTCTGGAGCTGGAAGTTCAAAGTCAGCCTCAGTGGACTGAACGAAGCCAAGAGCAGCGCCATGTTCCTCTGAGAGGCTCTGGAGGTGCCGCGGCCAGTGTGAGAACTGGTTTCCTCCTCTGGAAAGCAGGGATAGCGACACCCCTTCCCAGGAGATGTAGAGGGCTTTACGTAGGGCAGCAGCTTGGGAAAGGTGTCACCAGGAGAGGCTGGAGGGTGCAGGGTCCTTTCCTGTGGGCCTCTCCTAAGGGCGCTGTTTATTTTGGTTGTAGCCAGATGGAGCACCCTTGGGACCCTCGGCGAGCCCAGTCCTTGGACAGGTCTCACGCCCCCCGGAAGGACTCAGAGTCGTCCAGCTGCCAGTGCCTCTCACTGCCCGGTGCACCCTACAGGAGGGCACCCCGCCGAGCCATCAGCGATGGGGCCAGATGTTCCCAGAGCCCAGACCCATCTTCAGGGGCTCAGGGTGCTGAGGTTGCCGCAGCCCACACTCTGGAGGAGACGAGGGGGTTTCTTCCCAGCGAGCGGAGGACCCCTCCAGACACCAAGAAGGACAAGGCCCAGAGGCGGGCCCAGCCAGGCTGGCTGAAGATGCTGCTGAACCTCCTCTTGAGGATAGGCTTTGAGGAACCCGAAGACAAGGCCAGCGGGAGGCCGAAGGGGAAGGAAGAGCCCCTGGAGTCCCCAGAGGCAGCTGAGGAGCTGGCCTTCAGGAAGAAAGCCCAGGACAAGAAGGCCAACCGCAAGAGATACGGTCACAGAAAGCATGGGGCCGAGGAAGCCAAGGGGAGCCATGACAGGGAGGCAGAAGGCCACCAGGCCCGGCTGCCCAACATGGCTGCCGCTTTGCACTGTGAAGAAGCCGAGGCTGCTCCAGTTCACGGGGGTGAGCAGACCGGCCGTCCCTGGGGTGACTCACGGTCCCAGCCTGAGGGCCAGGGTGCTCTGTGCTTGTTCCTTATGCCTCTCAGCAGAAGGGATGTGAACAGCTGGGGACATTCGTCTGAAGTCGAACAGCACCATGGCTGAGCACTTGAGGCCAAATGGCTGCGTTCTCTGAGCCTGGGTTTGTCTTTCCTCCTACAAAGCGGAAATGAAACAGTTGCTGTCTCCTGGGGCAGCCAGGGCCTGTGTGAAAGTGCTCGGTGCCTGGTGGTTTTACATTACTGAGGAGTGTTGAGTTTGAGGGGTACAGATAAGAAGTAGGAAAGTGGGGTGGGGCGTGAGGGCAGGGAGGTCCATAGGTGGCTTGCAGGGCATTGGCTTTAGACCTTGGTTCTAGATGGGGCTCCATCAGGAATAAATGGCCGTATGAGCTAGCAAGGGGCTGCTCCACAGAGCCGTGGTTCCGTGTGAAGACAAGGAGAGATCTGGTCCCAGCCGCACGGGACACAGAGCTCTGCCCTGCACCAGAGCTCGCTGTGGTTTGGTGGGAAGGACACACTCCAGGAAGAGCCAGGGGCCAGGGGTGGTGGCGCACGCCTGTCATCCCAGCACTCGGGAGGCTGAGGCAGGAGGATCGTTGTGAGTTCGAGAGCAGCCTGGGTTACAAAGTGAGCTCAAGGCCAGCCTGAACTGAAAGCGAGACCCTGTCTCAAAAAGACCAAAAAAGAAAAGTCAGGATTTGGGGTCCAGGGGAAGCAGTTGAGAGAGTCCCTGAGGTGAGGCAGCCTGTTTTCCAATCCAAATGTCGGCGCATTTGGATGTTTTGGGTTAAGCTTAGAGCTACCACAGCAGAGAGTGCCTGTGGCCTGCGAATCCGGCGCTGTTTGCTCGTGTGGGTGCACGGAGGCAGAAGACTGTCACCGAGATAAACACCCACACACCCACTCGATGTGTTCCAGGTGGACCAGACTCCGGCGGCCCCCAGTCCTTGCCCTGCGAAGGCGCCGGTGCTGGTCTCTCGGATCTTTCTCCCCAGGCCCCGGGCTCTGGGCCAGAAGAGGAGCTCAAGAAGCCCGACCGTGAGTTCCAGCCCCCGGTGTCCTTTTGATCTGCGGCTGGCGGCTGTCCCGCGCCTGCGCGGATCTTTCTTGGCCTCTGCTGCTTCCAGCCACGTTTACTTATTTTAGGGTCTCCCAGAAGGGAGACTTGGGAGTTGGAAAGGCTGCTGGGAAACGCTCCTGCCTTATGTGCTAATGGGAATGGGACTTTGTTTTCAGACTTGTCAAATGTATTTTATTTTAAAAACGTACAGACCAGTAGGGACCGGGGTGTGGCTCCGGGTAGAGTGTTTGCTTAGCACGCAGGAGTCGCTGGGTTTAGTGCCCACTGCCATTAAAATAAAATGCATAGAAGAGTAGAAAGAATAGTTCACTGCTCACTTGTGTACCCACAGTTGTTAACTATCCGCCAGTTCTCTGCATATGTGTGGATGTATATTCTTGTAGAATCATTTTAGCATAAAATAATTCTTCTTCTCTAAATACTTAGACAAAGGTCCCTAAGAAATAAAAACAGCCTTGGGGCTGGGGATTTAGCTCAGCGGCAAAGCGCCTGCCTGGCAAGAGCAGGGTCGTGAGTTCAGTTCCCAGTACCGGAGAAAAACAACAAAAAAACAAACAGAAATAAAAACAGCCTCAAACACAACTATAGTACCATTATTCCTTCTAATAAATCAATAATTAATTCCCTAATCCTCTAATCCCTTCTTTCTTTCTGTTTTTCTTTCTTTCTTTTGTCTTTTTGAGATAGAGTCTCGTTATGCAGTTCAGGCTGGCCTTGAGCTCACTTTGTAGCCCAGGCTGGTCTCGAACTTGCAAGCCATCCTCCTGCCTCAGCCTCCCGAGTGCTGGGATGACAGGCGTGCGCCACTGCACCCAGCTGTAATTCCTTCTTTAAAAAGCCATATTTTGAAAATGAGGAAGGCAGTGAGCCATGCCCCTGTCAAAGGATAACTACAAGACGTGACGTCAGTTATTCTGTAGGGTATTTAATTATCGTACAGGTAGTTGCTTTCTCGCTGGAAAGGGAATCAGCTGGTAGACTGAGCCAAGGTGCAAGAAGCCAAGCAGGATGGATGAGTGTGAGGGGGGTGAGTGGGGCAGAAAGAAACCACAGCCGGCCTGCGGGACGGGGGACCCTGTCTGTGTCTCTTGCTAGGTGAAGGGTGGGCAGCGAGCAGAGGGCAGGCTGGGCACACTGCCCTTGGTGAGGCCAACGGGGCTCACTGGAGAAAGCTGTTCCTATTCTTTGTGGCTCCTCAGAAAGCTGTGGGGTGTCCAGCTGGAGCCTGCTGGTGACGTCCTTCCCTCCTTCCCCTTAGCCGGGCCGGGGGGCGAGGGGGAATCACCATTTCCCCTACTGGAATCCTGCAGCTCGGAAGATCAGCTTTAGTCTCTAGAAGTGTTTCCAGGCCCCAGGGATTATGATGCTCATTCCAGGAGAAGAGTTGAAGGCCCGGAGAGGTTAAGAGACTTTCCCAAAGTCACACAGCTCCCAGAGCGCGGAGCGGAAGTCCACAGATATGTAAAATTGAGAGAAATTAGTGGGGCACGGCACGAGTTGGAAGGCTGGCCTGAGATTTCCTATATTAAATGTTTTCTTTTGATACCGGGAACTGAACTCAGGACCTTGCGCTTGCCAGGCAGGCGCTTGCGCCACTAAGCTATACCCCCAGCCCTCCTGTATCACATGTCATGCCTCGGCCGGAGCCCCTGGGGTGCGCTGCATTCCCCCTTCTTTCTGTGGCTGTGCTGAGAGGCGTGTCCTTGACAGAGAGGCCCAGGTTGGTCCTAGACGTCCGAGGTGCGGTAGAAAGAGCGCTGAGTGCGCTGGGAGTGACGGGTGCTATGCTCTCTTCCAGAGGACGCCGTCATCCGGATGATAGTGGAATTCCTCAAGAAAGCGGGAGACCAGTGGGAGGAAGAGGTGAGGAGCAGCGCCGGTCCCAGGTCCCGCCGAAGCTCCTCCTCCTGCCCCGGGGCTCAATGCTCCGCTTCCCTCGCCTGGGGCCACCCTGCCGCGCTGGCTTGCTCTCCTGAAGGACGGGGCCTGACTCAGTTTCCCTCTTGTTCCCAGCAGCAGGCTCGAGCCTCCCAGCCGGAAGTACAGCTGCACAGCCCTGCACTGGGCTGCAGGGGGAAGTCCCAGGAGAGGAAGCCCAGCAGCCTCAGGAGAGCGTTTTCCCTGAAGAAGTGCAGCCCGGAGGGGCCCGGGAGAGCGCGCGCTGCGGATGTGCCCGGCCCCGAGGCCCGGCCGCCCAAGAGGCCCAGCTTCCTGCCCCTGTGCGTTGGCGGCGGTGCCCACCGGCCCTCCACCTCCAGCAGCCCCGGTGAGCAAGTGCTGGCGGTTGCCATGGCAACACCGCAGGGCTCTGGCGTCTCCTCAGGGCTGGGATTGGCTGTGTGCGTTCAGGGCTGCCATCCCCATTCTGATCTCCAGCATGGGGGCGGAGGGAAGGACGGCCAGCCGGTCCCCTCCCCATGCTGTCGCTGAGGTCCAGGCCAGTGGGAGCCCTGGGTGGGAATGTGATTGGGGTCCCCAACCATGCCCATGTCTGCAGCCTCGGCTTCCCCCTCCCGCGGGTGGGAGAGGGCAGTGTCTTCTGGAGGACTGGAGCCACCGGCACAGCTTGGGCTTGAGCGGCGCTTTCTCTGTCGTCCTCGGGACCTTGTCTCAGCCCTCTTTCCCTGCCGACTTCTGCATCTCAGTCGCCCTCACTGTCGCCTTAGCAAGCGCAGTTCTTACCCGCCTCTGACGGATGAGGCAGCCGAGGCCCTGGGAGCTGAGGGCTGTGTTCAAGGCCGCAGCGCTCCTCAGTGGTGGAGCCAGAGCTGGGGGAGCAGGCGCCACACAGGGAGGTGGTCCTGGCCAGGGGACACACAGCGTGGAGAGAGGGGTGCATGGGCCACCGAGGAGCCGATGCCCAGCGTGAAGCTCAGGCCGCGCGGGGAGGGGTTTTCCTGCAGGGTGATCTGCCCGGTTCTTGGTTCCTGCCACCAGATCAGGCATCTGCTCTTCTTTTTTGGTACCGGGAATTGAACTCAGGGCTTCACGCTTGGCAGGCAGGCACTGCGCTGCTGAGCTACAGCCCGGCCCTGGGCATCTGCTCTTCCCTGCCATCGGTCCACACCGTGGCGGACGGCGAAGCCCGAGAGAGTCAGCTCTCAAAGCCCAGGGGCGGGGGAGCCCGGTGTGGCTCAGCTGAGGCTCCCACCAGCCCAGCCGCCCAGCCGCCCAGCCGCAGCACAGCGGGACCCTCAGGGGACGCAGCCGTGGTGCCCGCCACAGAGCCAGGGCTGCCGCCTGTGTGTGGTGGCCGTGCCCAGACCCGCGGGACACATCCAGGATTCCACTCTGCTTGCCAGGCTCTGAAGGACCAGGAGGCCCCGAGGCCCGGTCTGCGGATGGCGACGGCCCCAGTCCCTCTGAGCTCCCGGCCCGCGCTGGATGCCAGGGACCCGAAGAGGAGCGGCCGCTGGACAGAGCCTCTGAGTCCAGTCAGTACCCTGTCCAGCATTCTCCCAGAGACGCCTCAGGAAACTCGCAGCCTAACCCTGCCCCTTGCAGGGAGGAAACTGAGTCAGAGAGTGAGAGGGGCCTGTCCAGACCTCCCCCGAGGGCCACAGGCTGAGGAGGCCGCACAGGGCCCAGCGTGTGGGCCTGGCCCTGTCTGAGCCTCAACTGTTCGGGACAGCGGGCATCACCTGGGGAGGCAGACCGCAGGCGAGGGGTGGGGCACGGCCAGGCAGGGGCCACGGCTCCGTGGACAGCGTGACCCTTAGGGTCTGGGGTCCAGTCTGCCCTCTCACCCCTTCAAACCCCGGGGTCGTACACGGCCGCTTAACCTCGGGTCTCAGTCTCCTGAATGGAAGATGGGGACCATCAGAGAACTTCCGTCCTGGGGCTGTCAGGGATCAGGTGACAGGGGCCGGGGCCGAGGAGGAGGGATGCTCGACCCCGGAAGCTGCTGTCACCCGTAAGGTTCTATCCCTGGCACAGCCGGGCCTAGACTTGCGACCGCGGTCAGTTCCTCGCAGGGGACTGGCCAGGCCCTGTGCTCTGCGGACGAGGAGGAAGGGGCCGGATGAGGGCTCTGCGACAGTGATGAGGTCCCCTGGGTCAGGTTCCCAGGAAGCCAGCTCTGCCCTCGGGCGGCCTCTGACAGCTCTGTGGCACCCCAAGGGTGCTGGGGGGGGCGAAGCCCTGGCCTTGCCTGACCATGAGGATCACTCCAGAAGCCCCCAGGGTGGTAGGGAAGAAAGACTGACCGCACAGAGCTTTGCCGAGCGCTCTGATCTGTTTTAGACGAGTTCAGGCGGAAGATCCTCAGGCTGCTCCGAGATGGCGAGGAGCCCGCTGGCGCTGGCGAGCAGGTGAGGGCACGGTGCTGAGCCCTGCCCCTCAGGGGTCATGCCGCCCCTCCCGCGCTGCCCCTCCCGGCGCTCCTTCCTGTGCTTTCCTGACTCAGCTTCTCCCATCTCTCGTCTCAGGAGGCTGAGGCAGCCGGACAAAGCCTGGCCCTGGCCGGCAGGAGGAAGTCCCCGGAGAAAAAGCCCAGCAGCCTCCGCAGAGCCTTTGCCCATAAAAGACACAGCTCCAAGGAGCGCAGGAGAGCGGGGGCTGTGGGGACCGGGGTGGCCGCCACCCCCGATTCCCGGCCACCCAAGAGGCCCGGCTTCCTGCCCCTGTGTGTCGGTGGCCACCGGACCTCCATTTCTTGCAGCTCCGGTGAGCAGGTCTGGGGTTACCATGGTGACGGGGGTTCCCACCTTGCCTCTGCTTTCTGCTCTCTGCTCTGGCCAAGTGGGCGGGGACTGTTCAACTGTACCGAAGCCTGAGGACCACGGGTATTCAGTGGTTCCCTGACATTTATGGAGCGCCTGCTGTATCCCACTATCACACACGCCTCATTCAGCCTGCTTGGGCCTGGTGAAGTCCAGCTCCCTCTTCCCACCCGACAAAGTGAGCTTCAGACGGGCCAAGTGCCCCGCCCAGCCCCGCCGGGTTGAGGAGAAGTGTTCACGGGGTGGACGTGCTGGTGTGGCCTTTTACTTTTTTCACTGCCCTATTCCAGGCTGTGAGGATGTGAATCAGCTGTGAACGCTCACATCGGTACTTTTGCCCTCAGATGAAGAAGGCCAGGAGTTCCAGGAGCCCTCAGCCACAGAAGCGGCCGCACCTGGGTTCTCAGAAGCAGCCTCCCGGGCCAGCAGCTGCACGCCAGAAGGGGACCCTCAGCTCCTGCAAGAGGGAGTATGCGGATCTAGTCAGTACCTCTCCTGCCTCTGGGGTCCTCGCTTGTGTGTGGATGTCACGGGCTGAACAGGGGAGACGGGGAGCGGAGAAGGCAGCTGACAAGCCCTGGATAGCCAGCAGCTTAGGGCAGCTCCATAAGCTGGGGCTGCTGGGCAGGATTGCAGGTGGAAAGCCACCTGTCCACAGGTAGAGACCCTTGCCTCTTGGTGGGGGCGGTTCGGCCACCCTCTTGTGGGTTTGCCTGGGGGGTATATATAAAACCCTAGTTTGGCCAGGCATCCCAGCACTCTGGAGGCTGAGGCAGGAGCATTGCTGCGAGTTCAAGGCCAGCCTGGGCTACCTAGCGAGACCCTATCTCCAAAAACCCAAACCCTATGTTGCTCTGCTCTCATAATCATGCTGTGTGGGCAAATAGATGGTGTGTGTGTGTGTGATCTGTATGGCACTTGTAGATTTCTTTTTTTTTTTGGTTTTTCTCCGGTACCGGGAACCGAACTCATGACCTTGTGCTTGCCAGGCAGGCGCTTTGCCACTGAGCTAAATCCCCAGCCCCAGCACTTGTAGATTTCAGTGGTATAGACATTTCCACCTGCTCAACTGCAAAGAGCCAATAGTTGGTAATGGCTACTCTGTACACTTCCTGCCTATTTACCAGGACCTTGGTGTGAGCAGCCTACACACCCAGGTGGGCTGATAACCCAGGTGAGAGGGAACATTCCTGTGTCAGCAGCCACACGGTGTCCCCTCCTCACATCCCCATGAGCTGCTCCTTCTCCAAACTTCCATTCTTGACGTGGGGAGCCCTCGGTTTTCCCATCTGTCAAATGGAGCTGAATGTGGTCACATTCTGTTTCTATGAAGTAAACCCTCACCAAAGCCCAAGTTTAAGGAAAGATTTTTTTTTTTTTACCCTAGCTATAACTGATCTGTGTGCTGCTTGGTAGAGAGCACATACTGTCTTCATCGGCGGGTGTGTTGTGACAACATTCTAGCATGTGGTTTCTCATCCTTCCTTCCTTCTCTTAGAGGAGCTCGTTATCTGCAAGCTGGTGGCGCTTCTCCAAGAAGTGGACGGCGAGTTGGGGGAGCAGGTGAGCACTTCCCAGCCCTCCCCAGCTTGGTGCTGGGGCCTCATCTGCCTACCCCTGACACCTGGGTTCCTTCCCATCTTTCTGTCTCCACGCTGGGCATGTCCCTTAACTAACTTCTCTGAGACTGTTTCCTCTTTTGCAAAATGGGGAATGTGTCGGTCAGCTTTCCTGTAGCTGGACACAATACCTGATGCCCACAACTTAAAAGGATAGAGGCTTGATTTGGCTTACGTTTTAAGGGGCTCAGTCCGTGGGCGGCTGGCTCCAAGGTAGAAACCTCATGGCAGAAGGGAGTGGCGGAGCAAAGCTGCTTGGTTTATGGTGGCCAGGAAGCAGGGCAAAGGAACCAGGACCAAAGAGCAAGGGTCACGGGACCGAGGGATAAGGCCGTGCCTCTGTGACCCACCCAGACACACCCACAAATGTGCTCCACCAGTCCCCTGGGCAGATCCCAAAGCCAGCCACGGTGACACTATCACAAGGGGTAATTACCTACTTGACAACACAGTGCCCACACAGAAACTGCCAGACAATAGCAGAGGAGGCAGGGCAGTTATAGCAGAGATTATCGTGCTCCTGTGGCTCCCCGTGCTGGGCAGAACCTCCCCAGTCCTCATCCCTCATTTGGAGCTCAGCTCCATGTCCTGCTGCCCCAGAAGCCTCCTTGTGCCAGCTTGTGGTTCTCCCAGCAAAGGAGAAGGGCAGGGCTGCTCTTGGGGAAGCAGAGGAGGCCCGCTGGCTACCACGTGGTGGCAGAGTGGCCCTGGGTCCCCTGCGGCTGCAAGTCGGCCAGTGATGGGGTGAGGCACGGCACCAGCGTCCCGTCTGTAACCTCTTCCCCTCCTGTGGGACCCCCAAGTCTCCCCAAGGAGACTATTTCTGAAGGGCAGGGAGGCTTCTGTTACAGAACCGGGGACGCACCAACTCTGAGGGACCTCCAGAGGAGGAGATTCAGAACCACAAACTGGCACAAGGAGGCTTCAGGATTCCGTAGCACGGAGTGTTCGCCTCTGGGGTGGTAGAGGGATGTGACAAAGCGGGGGCTCAGGGCACACCGCCCTGGCTGCGTGGAGCTTGCCGAGGGCTGGCGGCGGGAGGAGGCCCCACCAGCAGTACTAATGGCTGCCTTCATTTCCGCTTCCAGATCCGGAGACACCCCAGCTTTAAGAGGTTCTTTTACGAGTTCTCAGACTCCTCCCTCAGGAAGCTGGCGGCCACCCTGCGCAGCCAGCAGGCCCGCCCGGAGGATGGGGACAGGAGCCTCCCCAAGAGACTGCTCCCGCTTGCCTTTGGCCTGGGGAACAAATATGCTGACGGCCACAGCCGCACCATCTGCAGCCTCATGGGCTCCCGAAGCAGAGCCCAGTCCCAGGAGGCCCAGCTGGTGAGAGAGGGAGCGAAAGATGGGGGCATGGTGGTTCAAGGGGCAGCAGGGCATGGGCAGCCCTCTGCTCTGCAGAGAATTTGTAGGATTCCATTTAAATGCCACCGCCTCATGATGGCCTCCCGGGACAATTCTAAATCCTGAGGGCATCTCGATTCCACTCTGTGGCTGGCCTCCGCTTTCTTCAGCGCTGGTCTCCGGGAGTAGGCACCTGCTTCTGCATCTCGGTGTCAGTGTGGGGCGGGGGGTTGTTACTCTCTCAGCTGCCTTCTTATTATTTTATGGGTACTGCTGTGTGGGTTCTCGGTTCTAGACCATTGTAAAATTTAAATAACAAACAAAGGAAGGTTCTATTCCAGATAAGGTGTGGTTGAGGTAGACAAGAAGGCGCCCTGGGCTGTTGGTTTTGGAAAGATTCCAGAAGTGAGCGTGTACTGCCCCAGCCACGGCAGGAAATCAACTGACAGCCCCTCACACCCTTTCTCCCTTTCTTTCTCCCTCTACTTTCTTTCTTTCTTTCTTTCTTTCTGTCTGTCTGTCTGTCTGTCTGTCTTCTTTTCTCTCTCTTCTCTCTCTCTATCTTCCTTTCTTTCTGTCTTTCTTCTCTTCTCTCTCTTCTTCTCTCTCTGTCTCTCTCTGTCTCTCTCTGTCTCTCTCTGTCTCTCTGTCTCTCTCTCTCTCTCTCTCTCTCCCTGTAGTACTGGGGATTGAACCCAGGGCCTTCACACTGAGCTACATTCCCAGCCCCTTTAAACATTTTTTTTTTGAGACAAGGTCTCACGAAGTCTCTAAGTTGCCCAAGCTAAGCTCAAGTTTGTAATCTTCCTGCCTCAGCCTCCCAGAGTGCTGGGACAGCAGATATACACCATCGTGCCTAGTTACTTTGTAACTGGCTTTCCTGTCCTGCCTAAGGCTCCCTCCAAAGGCTCAGAGACATTCCTGCTGAAGATGACACTTGACAGTGAGCTTTTAAGAATTCCGAGGTTTCACGGTTTCCGGTGGACTCTGGGGAGCAGATCTCCTCATCCTTTCCAGTCCACTTGAGATAATCTGCCTTGGCACAGTCAGCTCGAGCCACAGAGCAGAGCTACTGAATGAAGGGCGGCTTTAAAAGAATGAGTCATCTTCTTTGCTGCTGCTGGACAAACAAGACCAGGACCTGTGCATGCAAGAGGGCCCTGGGAAAGCAGACCTTTTACAAAGATGCTACTGTCTCTCGCCATGTGTCTGTCTTCCTGTGAAGACAGGAATTACCTTTGGATGCCAGTGGCAAAGTCTCTCTAGAAAGAGAGACTTACCTTGTCATAGTCAGAGCTATGCCACTGCCTCACGAGGGCCTCCCGGGACAATTCTAAACCCTGAGCATGCTTCTCCTTCCCAGAGCATCTCTAGGATGCTTGCCGCGTCAGAGTCTTTCTCACTGATTAGCAAGTCCCATGAGACGGGAGGGGTACAAGGTATCAGCTCCACGGAATTCTCGTCATAGTCAGAACGCACAGGCGTACTGGTCTGTGCTGGCTGGTTTTCCAGGTGCAGACGCCTCCTGACCCTCTTCGGCCGCTGTTTTCTTGGCCTCACTGTCTTCTCCCCTAGCGTAGGGATGTCCAGGATAAGTTGTCCTTTAGGGTGGGTTAGATAATAGCTTCAGGGCTGATCTAAATTCTTGGTAAACGATACTGTGGAAATTTCAGTTTTCAGTTGACATGCTCAGTAGTCCTGAGTCCAGATCTTGGTTTTACTATTCATTCATTCATTTATTCATTCTTTTTTTCTTTCATTCACTCATATATTTGCTCACACATTTGTGCAAAGCACGTGGGGTGCTGGGAAGGCCTGGCCTTCCAGGACTTCATGTGCTAGTGGAAGAGGCAAATGTTCACCCAGGACAAAGTTTTTTTGTTGTTGTTGTTTTTTCCTGTACCGGGAATCGAACTCATGACCTCGCGCTTGCCAGGCAGGTGCTGTGCCGCTGAGCTAAATCCCCAGCCCCCAAAGGACAAAGTTTAATAGCAATCGAATGCCACATGATCAGCATCTGAGGTGGACAAACAAGTCAGTCCTGGGAGGCTCCCAGGAGGTGGTGGGCATTGCTTTTGGCCAGTGAGGATGTGGAGGTGGCCAGTGGAGAGGAAAATGGGGACAGCCCTGTAGTCATGGCGGCTGGCAAAGGGAAGACCCACAAACCTCTGGGCTGGGACTGAGCCTGATGTCTTCTTCCTCCTCCCAGAACCTCACAAGTCCTGGGTGTCTCAGTCCAGATTAAAAGCGGCGCCTGGACCTCCAGCTCCGTTGACCCAGCCAAACAATTGGCGCCTTTGGCCGGGAGACCCTGAAGCTGCTATGTAACTTCCCAAACCCGAGCTTCACAAAGTCCCTGAAGACCACACCCTGCTGCCTGGAAATGCACGAAGCCTTCTGCCCCAAAGCTCCCTGCGGAGACCACACCGGGGAGTCGGCTCTGGATTGGAGCGAGGAGACCCCAGGGCAGAGCTGGCCCGCTAGTTCCAGGCATCCGGCAGAAGCCCTGCAACATTTTCCCCTGGGTCCTGTAATTCCATGACCAGAGAATTCTGTGGAGCTGATACCTTGTACCTCTCCCATCTCATGGGACTTGCTAAGAGTCAGTGAGAAAATAAGGTGAAGAGTTCCAAAACTCATGCCTGGTGCAGTTAGGTGATCTTTATTAGCGCTACATTTGGGTGGTGTTCGGGAAGCAGAGGAGGGCTTTCGGCGGGACCTCTGTGGACAGCTGCGCGGTCCGCACTGCTCAAGAGCACCATACCCCCAAAGGCGCTAGTCCCATCCTGGGCAATGTGGACTTGGAGATTTAAGATGACAATTTTCCAGCTGGTGGCAGTAAAGGGTCTTGAAAGGGGCTCTTTTCTTTCATTTGCATTTGCACAAAGGTGAGGTGTGGGTTGTCACAGGCTCCAGCTTCCACACAGCTGAGCAATTCAGATGCGCTATGTGCAGGCTGCCGGGCTCCCAGCAGATCCCCAGCTCCCTTGCAGTGGCCTTGGGACTCGTGGCCCTATGGGAGAGGCTGGGAAAACCTGCACGGCACACTGCGCCTCGCTGGGCATGGTGGGTGTGGCGGATGAGCTGAGCCTGCGGCCAGTACCATGGGGAGGCGGGCGGGAGAAAGGCCGGGCGGAGGGCAAGGGACTCAGCTAACCCGCCGGCCTTCACCGCTCTCGAGGAGCGGGGCAGGGGCTGAGCTCCTTGCTCGGTTCTTCTGGGCAGCAGTCAGGAGTGTGGCGTCAGTTTGACAAAGCTCAGGAACCTTTTGTACATAGTTTCTTATTCGAGTGACGAGCGCTGGCCGTGTGAGTGCCCGATGCTGGCATCTGGATCGCATGTTTTTTTAACTGCATCGAGCAAATAAAGCAACTGACTTGCGCAGGGTGTGAGCTGTGTTATTCTGAAAAAGACAGGGTCCCGGGTTGGGTGTCGGGTGACCCAGGTTCGGGGCCAGCTGCTCACGGGGTGGTGGTGACCTTGGGGACAATGCTCGTCCTCCCAGCCTGACTCTGGACAGCTCTGTGACTCTCAGGTGACCGTTCATTATAAGCCCCCCAGATCGAGACCGGTCCTGATTTCTTATTAGTCCCCCAACTCTGGTGCCCAACGTCTGCCCTCAAAACCAGGGTGAAAACTGCCAGGACACAACCACAGATGCTGGGTCAGGAGAACGCGGTCTCCTCGGGCAGGGGTGGGAGACGCCCCCTCTCTCCCCGTGCACATCCGTGTCTTCTGTTCACACCCAGCCTTCGATGGTTCACGTTATACGCAGAGGACAGCAGGGACAGTGTCCTACTTCTTATCTCACGGAGGAGGTCGAGGAGCCTCCTGCACCTACCCCGCGGACGCTTTGTGGGAGCACGCAGTGTGGGGGACCCCGGTGCTCTGATAGTCTTTTGAAAGGTGGGTGCGCGACACCATGACGCAAGCTATTTCATCCCCTGAGAAGTCAGAGGTGACGGGGCCGGCTGAGAGGGAGTCAGGGGTGTCGCGCTCAGAGGCACTCTGGGAGACTGGACAGCATCTGGCCTCGCCCCTGGCACTAGCAAGACCTTTCAGTGTCTAAGGGTATGGCAGTCACATAAAAACTGATCTGTGTGTGTTGGGTTTAAAAGGAGAGGGGAGCTGGGTTCAGGGGTGAACACCTGTAATCCCAGTGCTCTGGGAGGCTAAGGCAGGAGGATCAAAAGTTTGAGCCTAGTCTGAGCAGTGCAGCACTCCATTTCAAAACAGGGCTAGGGGTGAAGCTCAGTGCAAAGGCCCTGAGTTCAATCCTCAGTACTGGGAAGGAGGGAGCGAGGGAGGGAGAAAGAGAGAGATACAGAGACACACACACACACACACACAGAGAGAGAGAGAGAGACACTACCTAGGGTTGGCAGATTTAGCAAATAAAAATGTGGGAAGCCCAACTAAATCTGAATTTCAGACAAATAACAAAGAATTACAATATGAGGAACACACTTGCACAAAAACAATTATTCAGTGTTTGTCTAAAATCCCAATGTAACAAGATGTCCTGTGTTTTCTCTGGAACCAACGCAAGAATCATCTTCTTAATTACCTCAAAATATGGGAAATTAACCAAAACTAAGAGACAACCGCAGGGGATTTATTGATCCTCGTAACAGAACTGACAGTGAAAGCGTGCAGGTTCTGCCCGAAGGCAACAGTTATTAGTGAGTTCGATTCCCCCGGCTGCCCAGGAATAAGACAGAATCCCTTTCTCCCTCGGGTGGATTCCGGGCCTCAGGGATGAAAGGTCTGCACCCGGGGGCCACCCCAGGGTCCTGTGTTGTCCCTACCACGAAAACCTTCAAGCGCCCTCCTCGCTGGTCTGGCTCAGACTCGGAGAGACAGGAACGCAAGGCCTCTGCGCCTCCCTCTCCAGGTCCGTTTTGTCCGCTGCGATGGCCCTGCACACAGCGGACCCCCCCCAGCTCGGCTTCAAGCCGCGCCTGCCCCCCTCGGGCTCCCAAGTCTGCGCTGCACGTTCGCCCATCTGTGCAGAGGGTTTTGCATCCCAGGGTTTGTTCAGCAAATGCAGCTGCTGTGCGGAGCCCGGGCTCCTCGGCCTCCCTCTGGGGAGCTGGGGGCGCCTCTCTTCCTGCACGGGCTGGAGAAATGAGGCTGAGGGTGTCTTTCTCCCAGGCCATTTTCACTGGGGTGTGGACAGCAGACAGTGTGCTCGCACCAGCGCCTGGAGGGGATACCTGGGGTCCTGCCGCTCTGACAGCTTGTTTTCCACAAGCACACAAGACTCCAGAAGTCCAAGCCAGGCGAGAGGCCCCCACACTGTGGAAGCCTGGGGGCTTCGGCGGACCCCGAGGCCCAGGCTGTGTGCCAGGCCCACGCCGGCGGTTCCAGGCAGACCCGTGGGCACCCCGAGAGAATAAAAATCAAAATAAAAGAGGAACTTGGTCTGTGGACACCACGGGGAGCGCCAAAGGGAGTCTTTGGCTCAGTCCTGCTGGAGCCCTGAAGTTTGCCCCCCGGGCTGGTCCCGAGGAGGAGGCAAACCTGGCCGGGTGGGCTGGGGCCTCCGGACGCCAGTGGGCTCGGGAAGCGGAGGGGCTGTGTGACGCGAGCTGCTCTGGGAGCTGAGACCTAGGCAGTGTCAGGGTGGTGGCGGGCGTCCCCCTCCCAGGCCTGGGCTTGGGTCTGACTGCGAGCCGCAGGGGGACACCGGTCCGTGCGTCCTCTGGTCCTCGGGTCCCCAGCGCTCGGGTCCACTCACATTCTCTCCTGGTCCAGCTCAGGTTTTCTCTCTCGGCTCACAGCTTCCTAGGCAGAAGATAGGAGTCACTGTTTCGGGGTCCCCCGTCTCAGGCCCCCCAGGACAGCCCCCCAGCTTTCATCGCCAAGCAGGGCCCAGGACAGCCAAGCTAATGCATGGAAATTGGAAATCTGGGTTACACCCAAAGCTAGGTAGGGGGTTTACTTCAGTACACAGGGATCCCTGGCTGCTCTAAATGGGGCCTCCATTGGAAGGTGGCAAAGGTGCTTGGGACATGAATCGGTTTGGGACATGAAAGTTCAGCTGGTGCTGAGTTATTCCGGAAGGGTGTTGGGTGGAGGGGTCTCTAGACATCGGAGTACAGTTGTGCAGATTGTGCACTGGACAAGTACGGGCCTTCTAAAGGGAGTAGTCAGCTCACGGACAGACAAGCGCCTTTGTAGTTATTTGCAGCCCGGTTGACTGATTGTTCTGATAAAACCAGTGTAGCAATTTTCCAGCAGCTGGCAGTCAAGGCCCCAAGAGAGGCACTGTTTTCTCAGTGCTGTGTGAGCTCACACTGACCTCAACTGTTCCAGAAAGGGAGCGGGGGGCACAGATGACCCTGGGTGGACAGGCCCAGGGGTCACCACGGCAGCGGGAGCGGGGCAGGCCGGGTCTGTCCTGGGGGACACCCCCATTGCACACCTCAGGGCCGCTGTTCTCCTGGCTCCGGCTGGGGTGCGGCCTGTAGGTGATCCACACGGCCCCGGGGGCGGAGAGCGGAGGGAGGTCGGGTGCGCAGGGCGTGGACCTGGATGCGGAAAGCCAGGGGGGCAGGGTGAGGCGACACCAAAGAGGGTCATCACAGGCCAGGTTCCGAGCCCTGCCCAGGGCAGTGTGACTCCCTGCGGGCCACCTGCCCTCTCTGGGCGCCTGGGGACCACCCCTGGACGGTCCTCAACTCTGTCGTGCTGCTGCTCCCCCTGGCGATGACACCCAGCACCCCTGGGAGGTGCAGAGTCCTCCGGTTAGGGCACCTGAGCTGGCCTGACCCTGCCCCCGCCTGGCCCAAGCCCACGTGCAGGGCCCTCCCTGCGTCCATCCTTCCCCGCAGGAGCTGTTGCCGACTGCTCTTCCCCTCTGCTGCACCTGGGTGTCCCTGAGAGCCTGAATGGTCCCTGCACCCTGGTCTGACCCACTTCCGCTCCTCCTCCTCCAGGAAGCCTTCCCTTGAGCCTCCGCCAGTGCCAGGGCAGGCGAGCTGCTGCTCCGCCCCATCCCACACGGCACTCCTGTTCCCAGGCTGGGGAGGGATGGGGGGGGCGGCACTAGGAGTTCTGGGACTGGGGGTTCTTACTCAGCAAGTCGGGCTGGACCCAAGAATTTGTGCATTCTCACGTTTTTTGGTACTGGGGATCGAACCCAGGGCTTTCACTTGGAGCTACACCCCCAGCCCCTTTTAGTTTTTGTTTGGAGACAAGGTCTTGCTAAATTCCCCAAGCAGGGATCCCAGGCATTGCACCACGCCCAGCTAGAATTTGGTCTTAGTGAGCTCCTCTGCAACACTGCTGCTGCCCCTGGGGTTACATCCACAGAACCTCTGGCATCTCACTAGAGCCAGATCCTTCTCCCTCCAGGCAGCTGGGGGCTCAAAAGGCTGCGGCATGCTCAGCAGCCACCGAGAAGAAGGTCTCACAGAACGCGGGTTGAATAAACACAAGTTAATGAATCTGAGCGCCACGAGAAATGACAGGAACGGAAGGCGCTGTGTCACACACAGGTTAAAGGCGACCTTCGGCCTGGACACGAGTTATGAATGGGTACTGGTCGGGCGTCAAGTTCAACGCTAGCTCACACTGCCTGTGCTGTCTGACCGGTCCAGACCGGAGCAATGCCAGGAATCCTTCACCGCACGGAGCCCTGCTGTGTGATTTCACTTCTCCGAGCCTAACCTACAAGGAGTCCGGGGACAGACACTCGTTCGGTGAATTTTTAAACATCTTAATCGCATCAGAAAGATATTACCCAGCTGAGCCACCAGTAAAGCGGATGGAAAGCAGTGCGGTGAGAGCCCTGGTTTCCATTGCTGGAACCGCAGGTCGGGCCCAGGGACAGGCCTGGCACCAAGGAGAAGCCAGACATGACAGAGGTGCCGCTCATATCAGCAGGGAAGCCTGGGTCACTTCCGCCATCCCCTGAGCGGGCCCTGAGCAGGCTCAGGGACACTGAAGCGTGTAAGTTCTCACCAGTTTGGAATAATGTGAAAGGACTGAAGTAGGCCACAACCTCTTTATCTATGGCCCTTGGTGGTGGGTGCCTCTGGGGATTTAGAATTTTTTACATTTTAGGAAAAGGAAACTAGTACCCTGTTCACAGGTTTTGTAGCCCCTAGAGTGGGGCTTGGGGATGGAGAATGAAACACATTACTATTTCTGCAGGCAGGGACTTAGAAATTGATATTCAAATACTGGGATAAAAAAAAGTCATAAAAAACTTCACATTGGAGCAGGGAGTGGTGCTGCACACCTATAATCCCAGCACTCTGGGAGGCTGAGGCAGGAAGGTTGCAAGTTTGACTCCAGCTGGCACAATTTAGTGACTTAGTGAGATTCTGTCTCAAAATTTTTTAAAAAAAGGGGTAGACTAGGGATGTAGTTCATTTGAAGATTCCTGGGTTCAATCTTCGTTACCATAAACAAACAAACAATTCACATTTGCATAGGTGAGGTTTTTGCTGTCAAGAGCAACCATAGGTTTTTATTTTTTCGGAGCTTCGTGCATTTCTGAATTGCAGGTAAGGGACGGTGGGCCCTTGTGGTGTCTAACGCTGTGCATGTGTGTGTCTGCGTCCGTGTGTGCGTGCATGTGTGTAGGGAAATCCATTGTCTAGTTCATTGGCTGGTTCGAGCATAAAACCATATAATCCCCTTGAGGGCAATTCGGTGACATGCATAAAAACTTCCCCTTATCTTCTGACCTGGCAATTCCAGTTCTAGAAATATGCACCACAGGGACAAGTGGGCTGGGTGCCAGGGTGTGTCCACGGGGATATTTATCCCAGCAATGTTCATAATGGCAAAAAGTTGGCAACAATGTCCACCTAGAGGGAATGCTCACAGATCAAACGCTATACTCACACCAACAGAAAGCTGTGGCTCTGTTACAAACTTGATACATCTATCTTTGCCAGAGGAAGAGTAATGGTATATGGCTTGGTTCAAAAGCAGGCAAGAAAACAGTATGCAGCATATGGGATCATGTTCATGAAAGTAAAAATACATCTCTGCCTGCATATGCTTAGCAAATATGGCAGGATATTTACCTAAATATTCACATCTGGGTGGGGGAGCCCTGGAAAGTTTTACTTTCTATTTATGCTTCTCTACATTTGAAGCTTTTCTTGGTAGTGAGTACATGCTGGATTTTACAAGCAGGGGAAGCAATAAAATTGATCATCCTATGAAAAGGCAGATATAAGGCCGGGCGTGGGGGCGCACACCTGTAATTCCAGCATTTGGGAGGCTGAGGCAGGAGGATCGTCGCAAGTTTGAGGCCAACTTGGGCTACAAAGTGAGCTCAAGACCAGCCTGAACTGCATATTGAGACCCTGTCTCAAAAAGACAAAAAAAAAGAAAGAAAGAAAGAAAGAAAGAAAGAAAGAAAGAAAAGACGGGTATAAAACAAAATATACATATAGATAATGTCTCTTTCAGTTGGGCTAAAATAGAGACTTCCCTGTCCAGAGTCTCGAAGGGACTTGTCTCCTTGCATAGGACCCCCCCGAAGGACCCTCGCAGGCCTGGGCTCTGTCCTTGGACCTGACATGTCTGTGTAGCCCAGAATCCCGTAGGATGCTTTCACATTCTGCCTCATGCGATCCCCAAATAACAGGGGGTGACAGGAAGGCAGACGGTAAAGCGGAAAACTGAGACGCTCATTAAGTCAAGTGGCCTCCCTAGTCGGGAAACGAGGCCCAGACTTTGCAGCCAGACGCTCAACCACTGAGCTATACCCCCAAGGCCCAGACTCTGCAACTTCCTGATCCCACCCCGGCACACCCAGCACCACGGGCGGCCATATTGCTTAGTGTAACGTCAAGAAGGCAGCGGCAGCCCAGCTGGACGGGATCCTGGTTCTGCCGCTGGCGACTGTGTGACAGGGCGTGTTACTTACGCTCTAGGCCGCTGTCCCTGGAACATAAGCACTATGTATGTTTTATCTGTTGTTATTATCACTATATTTACATTTGAATAGACCCAAACTCAACAGGAACTCAAGGAAGCGGCTCTCTAATGATGAAAATTCAGGGAAGTTGACAGACTTGGTAGCAATAGGAGGATTTGAGGAGAGAATGAGTCTTCTCCTTTTCCATTTGTAGCCCGATCGGGGCCAGCATACAATCTGGAGTCAGATGACCACTGCACTTTTACTGAAGGAGAGTCAAGACCAGCAGAGAAAGCCAGGCTGGCCCCTCACACCCAGCCCTGCTCCAAAGAAAAGTATGTCTCCCACCACTGCTGGTCCTCAGTGAAAGGGACACAGAAAAGAGTCAACCCTGACATGTACCCAGGCAGAGCTATGGCAGCCAACTCATGGAAGACAGAAATAAAGGTCTGTTGTTTTAATTCACTGGGATTTGAGGGTTGTTTGTTATGTAGCATTATCCTCACAGCAATAACTAACTACTACAACCTGCATCAGAATATGACTATGAACCTATGGTTGAACGACAACACTGATTAATGTACGAGACATCTGTCCTTTAGCTTTTATTGCAGCTTTTCTCCTCTTGTTGAAGAGATGTCAGCCTGGGACCAGGAGGTCACTCAGGCCTTGCCTGTGAATGTGACAGCATCTCTCATGACAGTAACTTGGGAGAAAAGGACCAGATCCCTCCTCCTCCAGGAAGCCTCCCTCTTCTCTTTCTTTATCCTTTTTTTTTAATGGTAGTGGACATTGAGCCCTTTTTTATTTTTATGAGACAAGGTCTCACTAAACCATTAAGTTGCCCAGGTTGAGTTTGAGCTCAAAATCTTCCTGCCTCAGCCTCCCAGAGTGCTGGCAGTTTTGAGCTTCCCTTTTCTACCCCTCATCCAGACCTCGGCAGCTCGAAGCAGCAAATGTGCCAGTCATTGCTGAAGGTCACCCCTCCGGGCAGACTCACTGTCAGTCTGTAAAGAAGCCGCAGGTTCACTCGCCGGGCCCAGGCCCTGTGACCCCAGGGATTTCCAGGTCCTGCCCCATCTCTGCCCACCTTTTATTTTATTTTCTATTTGATTGTGATATCGAAGATTGAACTCAGGGTCTTCACACTGAGCTTTACCCCCAAGCCTTTTTATATTTTGAGTTGGGATCTCATTAAATCCTAAATTTTCCAGGCTGGGCTCAAATTTGCAATCCTCCTGCCTCAGCCTCCCAGAGTGCTGGGATTACAGCACTGCTCCGTGTATTCCTTTTAATCTCAAAAGGGACATGAGGATTTGGCCCACTTCCTGAGGGGCTCGGGGAATCCCCTCCTACCACACCATTCCCCCCACCGAGGAAGCTCCTGTCCCAGTTCGGAAGGGGGCTTTGAGCCCACAGCGTCTCCCTCTGATAAATCCTGAGTCTTCTTGGGGAGCCCACTGGGCCAGGGGCAGCCAGGAAGGGTGTTGCTCTGAGGGACTGAGGGGTTTTTCTGATCCGCGAAGGATAGAAGCAAACAAAATAGCAGGGTGGGCCTGTTCCATTCAGAAAATACTTCGATAACCCAGTGAAATAACATTAATACTCAGCCTGGCGTAGGTTTGAGGCTGGCATTTGAAATCCATGAGTGTGTATGTCCATATGCACATGCTTTTCCGGGAAATGCTATGATTCAGTAAAAAATTAAAACTCGATTTAGGTGAGGCTCAAAGCTCAGCAGATTAGTCCATTTTATTCTTCTGGTCTTTGGTCTTACATTCAGTCTGGGGTAAACTATTGAAAGTCAGAGACTAGGCTTACCTTGGGTATTTTCAGAGATCAGGAAAGCGTTTCGCACTTAGTAGGTGCTCAATAAATCATTAAGTCAATGACAGCATGATATAGTGACACAGCCTGCACTGATAACTGATTGGAGTGGTACTCACTGGGGGTCAAGTTACTCCCTACAAATTAGTCTGGTTTTAGGAGAGTCCATTCAAAGTGATTGTAACACCTAGTTAGTCTTCAGGTCTACCTTACCTCGCCTATCTGCGAAGCAATTCACATAGGCGATGGCCCTAAAGACTCACAACCACACGAGCTGATATCACACCCATTTTGCAGGTCTAGAAACTGAGGCCCAGCCCAGACATGGTGGAGCATGACTGTAATCTCAGCACTCAGGAGGCCAAGGCTGAGACCAGCTTGGGCTACATAGAGAATTCAAGGCCAGCCTGGACTGCATAGCGAGACCCTGTCTCATAAAGAAAAAACAAAAGGAAAGAAACTGAGCCTCAGAGAGACCAAGTATGCTCATCGAGATCACTAAGCAAGACACTAAGCAAGATCACTAAGCATCGAGATCACTGGGAGAGAGGGATTCCATGTGGAGTGCCTGACTCTGAGGCCCAGGCTCCCTGCCCCCTTTCCTCCTGGGCCCCCGCTGCCCGTGCAGCGTCCCTGCAGATGGCACCTGAAGCGGCTGCTCCTCCCTGGGGTTTAGGAAGCGCCAGTCAACTCACTGTGCTTTGCTGCTCGGCTTTTTGGATCGGGGAGGTCTGGAGAAGCCTTTCCGGGCGCTGCTTGTCTTCTGTTTGTTCCTCTTGAACACTTTGCTGACCCAGTTCGAGTCTGCGGCCGTGCTCTCCCTGGGCAAAGAGAGGACGCAGGGGGTTTGCTGTTGGCCTGTCCAAGGCCAAGTGTCTGCCACCGTCCGGCTCCCGGGCCAACCCGGTAGGCAGGGCCCGGGGCCGCCCCAGCACGGAGTCCCGCTGCCTGGTCATCAATGAGTATTCAGCTCAGCGAGCCCGGGCCAACTGGTCAGACACCCAACATTTTACTCACTTCTCTGTAGGTGCAGAAAAGTTTATATTATGTGAACTACTGCCTCCTTTATGCCTAAGCCTGAAGTGATGAAATTTATACAAATTGTCCAAAAGTTTTATACATAAATTAGATGCAATGTGGGAGGCAGTTAGGTACATTTCAAGAAGTCTGCTATGGTATGGGGTGCAAACATCAAAAGTAAGAATGTTCCAGGACCCACGTTCCCAATCCTGCAGCTGTGAGCAGGGGGCCACTGTCACAGCCGTCCCAAAGATGGGTGCAGCTACATGGACGGGTAGAGGTAGAAGTAGGTCTGAGTGACCCTCTGATCATCCACTGCCTCATCCAACGGGCATCCAGCCAGCAAGGGAGCTTGGTGATGTGGTCCCCAAGGAGTGTTTAAAAAAAAAGTCCTGGGGGCTGGGGATTTAGCTCAGTGGCAAAGCACCTGCCTGGCAAGTGTAAGGTCGTGAGTGCAATCCCGGGTACCAGAAAAAAAAAAAAGTCCTGCCATAATTGCCGCAAAGATAACAATGAAAAAAAAAAAAAAAACGAAAAATAAAAGATAACAATGGAGTGCAGTGGGATTTTGGTCCATGAACATTTCAGTTGCAAATAATCCAGTTCTCAAACAAGAGTGCTCAACAAAATTTTGCTTCTCAGCTGGGGGTGCTGGCACACGCCTGAAATCCCAGCACTTGGGAGGCTGAGGCAGGAGGATCATTCCGAGTTTGAGGCCAGCCTGGGCTACAAAGTGAGCTCAAGGCCATCCTGAACTGCATAGCGAGACCATGTCTCAAAAAGACAAAAAAAAAAAAGTTTGCTTCTGTTCACAAACTCCACACTGGATGCAAAAGACTTCCTTGGTCACCTTACCCAAAACTGTGAAACAAAAAAGTTCGTGAACCAAGGTACCAGTGTGTGTGTCACACAGCCTGGACACTCGGTGCACATTATAAAGGAGATTCTCTGGGGTGATCCACTAGGGATAGTGGGGCCTTCACATGCAAATAAGAGACCATCTGGATTAGAGAAGGCGGGAAGAGAGGCTAGCTGGAGAGAAGAGAATTCGTATCATGCAGAGGCCAGGAGAGGCTGTCCGCTAGCCTTCTCCGTCTCAAACCGTGGCTCACCCGAGAGCAAAGTTCGGGCGTTTTCCCACCAAGGAGGTGCGTTTTCGGTGGTGCAGGAGGAGTGTGGCCCCACCCTGGAGAGCCGGCTCTCTCCCACCGAGCGCGCTCTTTGGGAAGAGCGGCTGGGCCGTGGGCTGTGAGGGGGTGGGCCGTAGCACACGGGCTGGAGCCCGGCCTCGCTGCGCCCCGCGCAGCCAAGGGGGCGGAGAACATCGCCTCGCTGGCGCCCTCAGCCCTCACCACGGGAAGGAGCAGTCCCCAGGCTGGGGGCGCAGCTCAGTGGGAAGGGCCGGGGTTCGGTCCCCGGTCCCGGGGCAGGGAAGAGGCCACACGCGCGACCCCGACAAAGGAGAGACTTACACGGCGTGGGACCTGCTGACCGGTTCCTTCACGTTCGTCAGAGCCGTGGCACTTCTGGGATTTGAAGAGGCCAGGAGAGCTACAGCAAGGCAAGGAGAGCGGAGACATGAGCGAGCTGGGGTGGGGAACCCCGCCACTCACGGGGTCGCCGGGGCGCGGGTGAGACGCTGCGGGGCGCGCTGTAGGCTGCGGGAGGGTTTCTCGGGCTCAGCACCGCTGCCCTGAGGGTCAGAGAACTCGTTCTTCGCTGGGGCGCGTCCTGGGCACTGGAGGGCACTCAGCGGCATCGCTGGCCTCCACCCACCAGCCGACAGCCACAGAAAACTTCAAATGTTTCCAAACGTGTCTCCCAGCCAAGGGCTGCGGGGCTGTCAGCTCCACCCGGCACGCGCGAGGGCCGCCAAGGCGCGGCCAGGGTGGCCCAGGCTCCTGGAGACGGCGGCAGAGAAACGCCTTCCGCCGAGCTCCACCTCCAGTCCTTCTCACTTTTAGATAGCGTCTCTCTACATTGCCCAGGCGGGGCTGGAGCTTGCAATCCTCCTGCCTCAGCCTCCAAGAGTGCTTGGATTATAGGTATGTGCCACCATGCCTGCCTTTGACGTTTTCTCGCCCTTAATGTCTTTGCGTTTTGTCTTACTATGATCAAAAGAATCAAAGTAAACCTACTGCAGAGAAAGCAGTTGCCTTAGGCTTGAGCCCCATCCCCAAAGAAGGAGCCTTGCTGTTCTGTGGCGTCTGCAGTGGACGTTTGACTGAAGGACCACGAAACAGGCCGGCTTCCTCCATCCTCTGGAACCCTCTCCCGTGCCCCTACACAACTGCGCCCAGCGGCTGCACACATCTCCTCTTCTTTGTGAATGTCCTTACATTTTCCCACTCTGCACCTGAAAATCTAGATAAAATCTGAAACGTCTGTTCTCCTCCATCCCATAAGCCATAGTCACCCACATCCTGGCCATTTAAACTCACCTCTCACCCCCCCCCCAAGGCTTTCTGTCCCCCAGAGAGAAGCGGCCTTACTCTGCAAACATGCTCAGTACTGCTTTTGTTAGATATATCTGCCCAAAACTTGTGTTCCTCAGGTCAGTACCATGCTGGAGAGACTTCCTGGGAGCAAGGAATAAGAACAGCTCACCTTGGCAGCCCCGATAATAGCTTCTCAAACTATCTGTAGTGGAGAAGGAGCTTTAAAAATATATATAGACCACCAGGCATGGTGATGTGTGCCTGTAATCCCAGTACTTGGGAGGCTGAGGCAGGAGGATCACTGCAAACTCGAGGTCAGCCTGGGCTACATAGTGAATTCAAGGCCAGCCCTGTCTCAAGAAAATGTGGTATTAAAATATAGAGAGAGACTATCCATAAAGGACGAGAGCTCTTGAGAAGTATAGTTCAAATGAATCAGTAGAAAAGTGATCAGCAGGGGCTGCGGATTTAGCTCAGCCGCACAGCGCCTGCCTGGCAAGCTCAAGGTCGTGAGTTCGATTCCCGGTACCGGAAAAAAAACCAAACAAAACAAAACCAAAAGAAAAGTGATCAGGCAATCTTATCACTCCTGCACGTCTGAGACTGAATTCTCGGTCTCCGCATTCATTTCGTGTGGACCTGGCCCCGGCCAGAGCACCACTCTGAGAATCCCTGCCACCAAGGTGGCTTCTGCAGTAAAAGTCCACCGCAACCGCAGTTCAGCAGTTCAACCGGGAGTGGGCAAAAGAATCACCCGAAGGGCTTGTAAAAGGCCCAGGCAGCGGAGCCCCCGTCCCAGAGCCTGGGATTTAGTAGATCTGTGGTAGGCCCAGAGAACTGTCACTGCTAACGACTTCCCAAATGATACTTTCGCTGCTCTGGGGGTGGGGCGGGGGAGGCGTGCTCCAAATGGCAACGGCGCTGCCCCCTTGTGGTGGCCCGGGGTTATAACACGCAGAGCCGCGAAGGTCCCTGCTGTCAGCCACCGCGTTGAGACAGGTTTCTGGAGGGTTCTGCACACCCGAAGCCGTGAGAAGACGGGAGGGTCCCTACCTTGGGGCTGCGCTGGGCCTAGCACCTCCAGGGGTGGCCGAGCGGGTGATGCTGCTGGAGGTACAGGGACAGCTGAGGGCCTTGGAGGTGTGAATGTACTGGGTGGGGCTCCGACCTGCGGCCGAGGTGACACAGGGGGCCGCCCGGCGGGTGCACCAGGCGGCGATGAGCCGGGTGTGGAGCCGGCGGTGAAGTGCCCGGGTGCCAAGTCACCCGGAGGATGCGGCAGTGTTGAGGCCGGCGGCGGTGCAGCAAGAGACAGAGGCGAAGAGGCAGGCCGGGGGACGGGCGACTGCACGGGCCCCTCGGGCGTGGGTTGAAGCGTGTGCACGGGTGGGGGCGCAGGTGGGCGGCTGCCCCTCCCGGCCCCCTGGACGTGGGGCGGAGTGGGCTCCTCCGGCCGGGCCCAGGACCTCCGGGGACACAGCCGGCTGCGCTCGGGGCACTCATGGCCCAGCGCCAGCTCGATCCGGGAGTACACCTCCACGCGCGGGAAGATCACTCTCTTGGAGGGGGAGTCGAGGTACGCAGCGTCTGGGGGAGACAGCAGCACGGTCACCGGTGGTCCCCGACCCGCCCCCGCCTCCCCGAGGCAGCCTGGCCTGGCCAAACTCGGCTTCCCAAGCTACGCAGTGGCCGCGGGCCCTGCTTTTCCGTGTCCTTGCTTTACTTACTTGAAGTCATGGGTGCTTAGCCCTCGCCACTATGGGGAGACAACATGGCCCACCCAAACAACCTAAGGAGCGCTAAGAAAGCAACTGTGGCTTTCAACTAACAGTGTGCAAATATCCACTCATTCACTCTGCTGCGAATCAGTGATATCCACTGTGTCCTGCTATGTACCACATTATACATGTACTATAGGACAGCGCCCGATAAAATGCGGCATTAATAACAGGGTGGGAAAAGCACAGAAACTCCCTGTCCTGTTTCACAATTTTTCTATAAATCTAAAACTATCACTAAAAACAAAGCTTATTAAAGATCTGGCAGGGAAAGTCAGAAAAGGATTAAATCCACTTCTCCAAAGAAGATATAGATGGAAGAGAGGCAAGTGAAAAGATGCTCCAAATTATTAGGCATTATGGTAATGCAAATTAAAGCCATGATAAGATACTACTACACACTGTTAGAATGGCTAGCGTTGAAAGACTCACAATACCAAGTGTTGGAGAGAATTTAGGGAAATGGAACTGCTCACCTGATACTGGTGGGAATGTAAAGTGTCACATGACTTTGAGGAACAATTTGGCAGTTTCTTAAAGAGTCACACATATGTTTTGATTATGTACCCAAAAGAATTGAAAAGAGAATCCTGCAGAGCAAGGCGCACGCCCATGTTCATTGCAGCATTAGCTGCAATAGCCCAAAGGTGCAAGCAACCTATGTGTCCACCAGCAGACAAATGGATAAAGAAAATATGGCGTATACATACAGCTTTCAATAGGAAGAGAAATCTTGTCATATTCTGCAGTGTGGATGAGCTTGAGGGCACCGTGAGCAGCAAAACATCAAATACGGTCTGACTCCGCTTCTAAGAGATATCTGAAGGAGTCAAACCTGTAGGAATGGTGCTTCCTTCTGAAGCACAGATACTAAAATTGGAGCTACGCAGAGGTTAGCACTGTCCTTCCGAAAGGGTGATAAGCAAATTCATGAAGCTGCCCCTATTTTATCAACTATAAAGATGGATAAATTTGAGTCTTTTGTAGGAAAATGGACGCAGCTTCAGGCCATATTGCTAACTGAAATAAGTCAGACACAGAAGACTGAATATCACATGGTTTCTCTTCTATGAGAAACCCAAAGTATAAATAATTTAACAAGCAGATTAAATGACAGACGTTAAGAAACAAGGAAAGAGACTTCTGTGGAGATGGGAAGACAATCTGGGAACGGGGAAAGACGGGAGGGAAGAGAGAGGACAGGGAAGTAAAAAGCGTCCAGATGCAATGTGTATCTGCGCCAATTCCCTGCAACATGTGTGTTTGTTATGGATCATAAATATATACAAGAGGCCGGGTGTGGCGGCGCATGCCTGTAATCTCAGCACTGGGGAGGCTGAGGCAGGAGAATCGTTGGGAGTTTGAGACCAGCCTGAGCTACAAAGTGAGCTCGAGGCCAGCCTGAACCGCATACCCTGACCCTGTCTCAAAAAGACAAAAAAAAACAAAAACAACAACAACAAAAATCCTCGTGGAAACAAAGTAGAAGGCTGATTACCAGCGGGAAGAGGAGGAAGCAGAGAGTTGCCGATCACTGGGAACAAAGTTTCAGGTTTGCAAGATGAAAAAGTTCCAGAGGTCTGTTGCACAACTACGTGAGCACAATCCACACTACCGAGCTGCACACTTACAAGTGGTTAAGACAGTTGTGTGTTGTCGTTGTTTTACCACAATTAAAATATGTGTGTATAAGTAAAACACACACGAACCGTACAATCCAGTTATTCTGCTGCTAGGTATTCGGCCAAGAGAAAGGAAACCAAGGGTCCCTACAAAGCCTTGGGCGTTCGCGCTCTCAGCGGCGTCGGAACCGACCTAGGAGTCCCGGGCGAGGCCGCCGGGTGAAGATGCAGGGGAGAAAGGGAACCGCGCGAACCACTCCTACGTTCTGCAACAGGGATGAATCTCGGGAAACTGACGCAGGGCCAAAGGATCCAGATAAAAGAGAGTTTACTCTGCAAGGCTGTATTTACCGAGAGCCCTAGAAGATGCAAATTAATCTAGGATGATGAGAAGCAGATGGGAGCTTGTTTGGAAAAGAGGAGGCGCCGGAAGGAAACTGCGGGTGACGGATGCGCCCGTCTAGATTGCGGCGGGGGCTTCAGTGCGCTGTGCGTGTGCGCGCGTGCAAACTCAGCCGGCGGACACTGCAGACCCGGCCCCTCCCAGCGCCGGCTCGAGGCCCGCGCCGCACGCCTGCGTGGACTTCACGAGTGCCAGCCAGCGGTGCCTTTCTTCTGGTGGGAAGCTGCCTGGCAGCAGGGATAATTAGGGTGACATCTTTCGGGGTGCAGCTTCCTGCGGGAGGCGACCCCATCCAGAAAGCAGTCAGGCAGGCGGCAGGCAGGGGTTAAGAGTGGGGCTCCAGGCACCGACCTTAGTTTCTCAGGACGCGTCTGGGGCTCCTGTCCACCCGCAGGGCTGGAGGGAGATCCGCTCCCGGCACCCCTGGAGGACTGGAGTGGGGGGGCACCCTGAGTGCAGGACGCATGCGCTCTTGCAGATCGGGCTCGGAGAGACCCAGAGCCTCGGAAACCCCGTGGGACTCCCGGGGTGTGCAGGGTGCGGGGGCAGGGAGGCTGAGGCGCACTTCGCACCCCTTCCCCAGGGCTTGAGAGCACTAGAAAGGGAAGCTTCTAGGGCGAGAGACCGGTGGGGGAGCTGTGGGGGATCTCCTGGGGCAGAGGAGCGAGTCTCCTCCAAAATCCAACTTTCAATCCCTCCCCGCCGCCGTTTTAGGCAGTGCTGGGGACAGAACCCAGGGCTTTGTGCAAGCTCAGGCAAGCGCTCTACCCCTGGGCTACACCCCCAGGCCCCCAAATCCAAGCCTCAGATCAGAGAGGCTTCCACAGCCCAGCCCACAGCATCCACCAAGCCTGGCTCCCCAGCGGGGGTGCTGCCTGCTCCCGGGACTCTGGGGCCAGGCCCCCTGTCCCGTCTGCCTACACCACTCAGGGCCCCCGTGCTTTGGACACTTGGGGCTCGGTCTTCACAGCTGCCGCCTGATGGGTGTGGGGGGAGTTGGCGCTGTCGAGGGGGGGCGGGGCTGTCACCAGATGACGCTACCGGCTCGCCCTGCTCAGACTCTCTCAGTGGGAGCTCCCCGCACCCCGCCGTGTGGGAACTGATGGTAAGGTTTGGGGGCTTTGCTCCTTTAATCCTCCCAGTAAAACTGAGGTGGATTCCGTTATGAGACCACTTTTACAGATGAGGGAACCCAGGCCCCAGGAAGCTGATCCAGACTCCACACTTAGTGGGTGTCAGTAGCAAGGTTCAAACTTTTCCTTAGCAGGAAACCGGGACTCTGAGAGGAAGTGATTTTCCTGAGCACACAGCTTGGGGTCAGGCCCAGGGCTACTTGCCCCAGAGCCCATGGCTCCCCATCCTCTGTCCTTTCCCCCGCCATGGGGAGAAAGGACCCGGAAGAGAGTACAATAAGGGAGATGGAGAAAGCAGGAAGCAGTTTTGAAGAAGGAAAACGAGAAGCGAATATATCCCACGGAGAATATTTTGCTCACCCTTTGATTTTTTTTTTTTTTTTTTTTTTGTCTTTTTGAGACAGGGTCTGGCTATGCAGTTCAGGCTGGCCTTGAGCTCACTTTGTAGCCCAGGCTGGCCTCAAACTCGGAATGATCCTCCTGCCTCAGCTTCCCAAGTGCTGGGATTACAGGTGCATACCACCATGCCCAGCCTTCACCCTTTAACCTTACCCCTGAGTATTTCTAAGGCTGCACACACAAAGTGCTCATGACGGCACTCCCTGTAATAGGGAGTATTTAGAAACTTAACGGCACAATGAGGTCTAGGTCTAGGTCTCCCTGTGACTGTGATGGGATATTATACAGCTGTGAAAAAACATACAGCAAGAGGGCAAAGCTTCTGAGAGAGTGCTAGGAAAGTGCCCTTGATCTAGGAATTCCTTTGTCTGAAACCACGTTCTAGCTAAGGAGAGGATTCTAAAGATGGAAAAGGCTGGATGTGGTGGTGCATGTCTGTAAACCCAGCACTTCGGAGGCTGAGGCAGGAGGAACACAACAAGACTGAGGTCAGCCTGAATGATACAGCAAGAACCTGCCTCAAAAAATCCTAAATAAATAAAAAAGGTGGAAAAGCTCTTTTCATTTCTTTTAGCAAAGATATTTGCCATGGCCTTCTTGGAGCCAGAGTGTTAATAACATAAGCCCTTGGAGCCATTCCGCCCCTGATAAAGCCCAAAGGGGTCACAGACACAGGGACCCTCTTTCCAAACCACCACAGGCCAAGGGGTTTTCTCCGATTGGTGATTAATATGTCACTCAAAATCTTGCACAAATACAAGCTACTCATGTGGATGAGCAATGTGGCTTTACGGGAAAGACAATAAAATGGGAACGAAAAGAGACAAAAATGAGATTCTTGGCAGAGATTTGAACTATGAATCTCTTAAGTATAGGTTGTTTTTTTTTTTTTTTTTTTTTTTTTTGTCTTTTTAAGACAGGGTCTCGCTATGCAGTTCAGGCTGGCCTCGAGCTCACTTTGTAGCCCAGGTTGGCCTCGAACTCGCAGAGATCCTCCTGCCTCAGCCTCCCGAGCGCTGGAATTACAGGTGTGTGCCACCATACCTGGTCTAAGTATAGGTTTTAAATCCATAAATATGGCCACCATTGAGCCCTCGTCCCCATTTCCAGCTCTCCGGGCCCCAAATATGAGGGACTGCTTGTCCTCAGCCTCCTACACCTGTCCTGGTTCCAATGTCCGACCCTCCTTCCCCCAAGCCCCGAGGTACTCACTCAGCCGCCTCAGGTAGGCAACGGCATCCTCGTAGCCCCGGTAGTAGTAATCCTGCAGGATCTGGGAGTACAGGCACCGGAAGACAATCAAGCTGGGGGGCAGAGAGCGACTGCCCCTTCCCACCCAGAGCCAGCTGCTTTTGCGCTGCTCTTGAACTTTATTGAATGGGCTTTTCAAAATGGACCTGTCCAGGGGCCCCTTGCTTGCTCTCCGCTGAGGACTGGGGAGCAATTCCTGATGGAGGTCCCAGTGACGCTGTGTTAGCACCTGACCAGGCCAATCACAGCTCATCCCATCCTCAGTCCCGTCTGGGTGCTCATGGGAGGACTAGAGAAGATGCAGTTGGGCCATGGGAAAGGCAGAATTTGGGGACTGGGTTCAAATCCCAGTACTACTGCTTATTGGCTGTGTGGCTGCTGCTTACAACCTCAGTTTCTTCATCTGTGAAATGGGTGCAATAGTAGTCTCTCCTCAGGGGATACCAGAGGACCACACCAGACACTGCCCACAAATCCTTTCTATAGGTTGGATTTGGACCTCGGGCCATGTTTTGCTGCCCTGTGTTGGTGCTCTGTCTGTCGGAGCAGCAGCAGTCCAGTAACATTCCCTTTTGCAGTACTGACATCGACCTGTTTTACAGGCAGGAAACTGAGGCTGGGAGAGCTCAGGGGACCTTTTCAAGCCCACATAGCCGGTCAGCAGCAAGGCCAGGTAGCGGGTCTAAGAGCAAGTGGTAGGGGTCACCGGAGGGGAGGAACTCGATCCCGCGGTCCCCCTCCCCGCCTCTCACCACCAGGTCCGGGGGGAACAGGGCGTGGGTCATGCGGGTGATGTTCTCCAGGGAGAACTGGAAGGAGTAGTTGAATATGCGGAAGTCGTGGAAGATGGCGGGGCAGTCCCGGGGGCAGATGTCCTGCTGCCCGCTGAAGGTGGAGATGGTGAGGGAGTCCGTCCAGAAGGAGCAGGGCTGCATGCTGGTGAAGCCCCCGTCGATGTACCTCTGGGGGTGAGAGCGAGGGTGCTCAGCTGTGGCCGGGGTCTCGCCCTGCTTCAGGGGCGGCGATGTCCTGGCTCCACAGCAGAGGCAGGTTGGAGGGACAGAACCTCTGCCGCTTCCCAGACCTCTGGGCCAGCACCCGCATTATTTTATGAGGCCCCCGAATGATTCATGAACACAAGAAAGATGACCTTGAAGGTCCCCGTTTGGGGTTCCAGATCCCCGCTTTCCAGAGCCATAGTCCACGCTCTGTCAGGCGTGGGGAAATCTTTTTTTGTTTTGTTTTTTCTGGTACCGGAGATCGAACTCACGACCTTGCGCTTGCTGAGCAGACGCTGTGCCACTGAGCTAAATCCCCAGCCCAGAGGTTGGAGCCCAGAGAGGCCCGCCCAGGGGGAGGCTGACGGGAAAGCCCCAGATGCCCCCTACATCAGGAATCCTGAGCAGAAAAACGCAAGGAACGTCCCAGCTCGGGATCCTCACTGCATCGAGACCACCCCTCTGCTCTCCCAGATGTGGCTCCCGGGGCCCCCGAGGTGTCCCCAGCTCCCAGCCCACCCCTCTAACGCCAGGGTCACTCACCACGCCTCGGTACGTCGGGGGGATGAAGCCGCAGTACACGGGGACAAAGCAGCTGCAATACAGCGCCTGGGGGCAACAGGATTTGGGGGTGGCCCTGGGTCCTGGGGGTGGGTGGGGGTCACTTGGCACCCTGCCCCCACCCCACCAACCCCGACGTCCTTCAACCAAGGTGAAGGCACCAGATTGGCAAACGGGGCCCCCGGTTCCCTCTCTAGCCCTGGCCTAGCGAGTCTGGGTGCTTGGTGAGCTACGCGGTTGATAGGGAGGGACCCGAAGTCCCAGCTTTAAAGGGAGATGTAGCCTCCGTATCTTTGGGATTCTCTGCAGATACCAACTTCCCACCCATCCGGGGGATTCCGTGGTCATTAATCCGTGTCTGTGAGATGGCCCCACTTGGGAGCAGCAGGAAGTCACAGGGCAGTGAGGTGACAGGGCCTTCGATGGAGGTGCGCATGGGCGCTGGGGCCCCAAGGCCAGGGGAGGGTAGGACGGGGCTGGGGCGGCGGGCGAGAGTGCCCAGCAGGAGCGGTGGAGTAGAAGGGCAGGAAGGAACCCCAGGCAGAGCGTGTATGGTGCAAAGGGGTTCTGGCTTCTATCTAAAACGCCCCCCTCCCATCCTCAAGTGTCTGGAAGGTGATCAATCACGGGGCGCTATACTGTCCAGGGCATTCATCCGCGCTTACGAGCCCGGCCTCTGAGAGTGCTGCGAGGAGGCGGGGCCTGGCTGGGGGCGGGTCCCGGGGGGCGTGGCCTGGAGAGGGGCTCCTCCCTCCCCCTCCCCCTCTGCTTCCCGTGCGCCACGCTGTGAGCATCTGCCCTCCGCCGGGCCCTTCTGCCCTGCCATCCCACCATGGAGCCTGCTGACCATGGGCTGAAACTTGAGCCAAAACAAACTTCTCTTCCTCTGTGGGTGACTTAAGACGAAAGGATCGGGCCCAGTGTGGGTGTGGGGAGTTGCACCTGCAGGAGAGCAGGGTGAGACAGGGCTGCCGGCCGTGGGAGGCGATGGGGAAATGCGGCGCTGGCCGTGAAGGAGCAGGGCGTGGAGAGGAGGGCCTGATGATCTGGGGGGTCTTGGGGGGTCCATGCCCCTTCAGCCCCCCGGCCCAGGACCAGGCCAGCGTGGGCTGTGAAGGCGGAGTAGCAAGGCCCACAGCTGGAGGGGCGGGAGGGTGGGATGGATGGGAACAGAGGCGCTTAACGAACCCCCTTGTGCTAAAAAAAAAAAAAAAAAAAGTACATCCCTGCGCTGGCTATGCAGCAACAGATTCGTGACTAAAATTGCTATGGGGAGCTTCGCGCGGGGCACAGCCGGCAGGGTGCAGATATCTCCGAGTGGTAACCAGCTCTGCGACGGCTTGATCATTCGGGGGGACCCTGGCACAAACTGGGAGCCATTCAGGAGGGGCCGCGTGCAGCCCGGGCTGGGAGGTCCTTAAAGGCGCCTGGGGACCCTGCGGCCACGCCCAGGCCTCTGAGGAGCTGCAGGCGGGACCAGGCGTGGAGAGAGGGGGTGCCCTCCCAACGCCCCGGGAGCCTTGCCTCGATGAGCTCCTCCTTGGACGTGAACTCGGACACCACCACGCTCTCGCCGTCCTCGAAGCGGGTGAGGCCCACGTGCAGCCTCCCCGTGGTGAACTTGTAGGCATCCTCGGGCAGCGTGCTGTATAGGAACTGGCGCATCATGCGCACCATTCTGCAGGACGGCGAGAAGGGCCCCAGGAAGTACTTCTTCACCTCGGCCAGGCCCAGGTTCAGCACGCGGAGGTACTCTTCTGCGGGGGGGAGCAGAGCGGGGCGGCGTCACCCTAAGGCCAGGGGCCAGGAGAGGTCCAGGGTGACTTTGCCGTCGCGTCTTGCGTGCGGAAGGTCTCAGGGAAGGACCTGCCGTCCTGCACCTGAGCAAAGCCAGGCCTGGAAGGAGGAAGTCACGGGCTCCCCAGGGTCACAGCTAGGCAGAGCTGGATCCCGGCGTCCTACTCCTGGGCTACGAGTCAGACAGACAGAAACCTTCATACTGACGGCAAAAGGAACCATTTCTCACCCCCAAATAGCTTTCTGCAGCTTCCTGTCCCACCTGGGTGTCTACTCCAGACTATATATTCTTTGGGGGTCTTGTGTGAGATTTCTATTAAAACGCGGATAGTGCAAGCCTGTAATTCTAGACCTTTGGGAGGCCGAGGCAGGAGGATCGAAAGCTCAAGCCCAGACTGGGCAGCTGTCTCAAAATAAAAAATAAAAAAGGGCTGGGGATATAGCTCAGTGCAAAGACCCTGGGTTCAATCCCCAGGACTGACATAAACAATAGAAAGACATTATCAAGTGACACTCCAGGAAACTTGTTCAGCGGCCAGGAGGCAGGTGAGCTGTGAGGAGGTGAACTGTGCCCTGATTTCGTTGCCTGTCCTTCCTGTGTGGCCCAAGGTACAGGCTGGGAGGGCGGAGCCGGGAGCTCCGCGGTGCCGTTTCCCTCCCCTCCCCCACCCAAGTCCCCAGAATCCTGCCGGGGGGTATGTGTGGGCGTAAGCTCAATACGAAAAGCAGCCTGCTAAATTCTCACGGCCGTGCTGTGCGGTCCGCATTTTGTCACGGTGCTTTCCCGGGGTCAGTCAGCAGACAGATTGAGATTTACGCGAAGGTGTGTGACCCGGGAACCCACACTGCTGCTACCACACTTAAACTGCCTCCTGCTGATCGCTGCTAATTCCTGCCTCCTGGGAAAAACAGAATGGAAATAGCTCTGAAAAGGATAGCTATGTTTTTTTATTAACTTAAAGAGAATTTTAAAAAACCCAAAACTAAAAACAAAACAACAAAACGATACAGCATTTCAAAACAAGATGATAGGAGATTGACAATGTTATTATATTGCATATTGTTATCTTCAAAGTAGTTGCTCAGATTACCAGATACGAGTATGCAAGATTGATCAAACAATTAAGCATTAACTGTTTCTTTCAATAAATCAATAGAAATTAGTAGTGCAATTATAGCATGGCTACCTTTTAAAAGCAAATATATATATATTTCTTGGTGCTGGGAATTGAACTGTCAGCTCCATGCATGCTAACTATGACTTTTTTTTTCCGGTACTGGGAATCGAACTCATGACCTCGAGCTTGCCAGGCAGGCACTGTGCTAGCCCCCAGATGACTTGGTTTTTTTTTTTTGAGACAGGGTCTCTATGCAGTTCAGGCTGGCCTTGAGCTCACTTTGTAGCCCAGGCTGGTTTCAAACTTGCAACAATCCTCCTGCCTCAGCCTCCCGAGTGCTGGGATTACAGGCATGCACCACCATGCCTGGCTTGCTAACTAGCTTGTAAGACTGAGCTACAGCCCCAGCCCTTAAACAAATATTTGATTGTGAAACATCCTATGTAGATGAACTTTCTTAAGAAAGCTTAGTGTCTTGTGGTAGTAATAGCTACTTGGGAGTCTGTGCAGTTGTGAGTTCTCTGTTTCTGGAGGTAAACAAGCAGAGATTGGACAAGTTCCATTGTCAGAGAGCTTATCAAAGGGATTCTTATATGGGCAGTAAGCACATAGTCCTTACAGTATGGCTCACGATATAAATGGTGTGATCAAAATATGCAGTGAATGTGTAAATTAAAAAAAAATTTATAAGCCAGGCATGGTGGTGCACACCTGTAATTCCAACCCTGGGGAGGCTGAGGCAGGAGGATTGTTGCAAGTTTGAGGCTAGCCTGGGCTACAAGGTGAGCTCAAGTCCAGCCTGAACTGCATAGCGAGACCCTGTCTCAAAAACAAAACAAAAATAAATAAATACATAAATTTATATAGTAAAATACATTCTCCCCTCAAACTACTGCCCCGTGATTCAAACACGCTTATCCCATCATTCTTTTTGTTGTTGTTGTTGTTGTTTTTCTGGTACGGGGAATCGAACTCATAACCTCATGCTTGCCAGGCAGGCACTGTGCTGCTGAGCTAAATCTCCAGCCCCTATCTCATCGTTCTTATGCCCCCCCTTTTTTATTCTTGCCGCTTTCTAAAGCAGTTCTAAAATCCTCTTTTGTGAATGTCTTTAAGAGTTATGATCAAAAATATTTTGCAGCTGACAAGTGCCGTCTCATGGAAAAGCAGGCTCGTAATAACATGACGCTGTGCCCTTGTCCACCTTATTCACTGGATGTGGCACCGTGTGACTCTGGCTCCCACCCGAAGTTACAGTGACCGAGACAGGGAAATGTTTGGAATCGATTTGGGACATCAAGGCAGCCAGCACGGAGCTGCGGAAGACACAAAAGAGAATGCCAGAGCTGCTTCAGAAAGTGGCCAGAACAGTGGGACAGGTGTATTTAAAGAGAGAGGGAGGATCTTGAGGAGATTAACAGCAATACATTTTGTACTGTGATACATTTTTAGAAAGTCAAACTTTCCTCATAATTTTCTGTCAGACCTCATATCCAGGAAGCTATCAACGTGTCTCGCTCTCTCTCCCATTCACAGAGCGGCCAGGGCGCAGAGAGGTTCAGCAGTTCACCCCAAATTACACCCAGCACTGAGGACAAACCAAACCCAGGAGTGCTTTGTTCCTTTTGTTGGGTGGTTCGCAGATTATAGCATCCGGGAAAACGGGCAAAATAGAATAACTGGGGACTGTTGTACAGATGTGGAAACTGAGGCAGAGGTCACACAGCCAGGCAGTGGTTTTTCTGACTCTCAATCCTGCCCTTGAGAAATTTCCCGATATTGGACTGAGCGGAGTGCAGGGAGGAAGAGGCTGAGGGAGCCTGGTTGCCATAGTGACAGCCTCCTCCAGGCTGCGTTCAGGATCAGACCTGCATCTGTGTGGCAGGTACCCACCTGCTCCAGGGAGCATCTCAGCTGTCACCCTGTTCAGGAGAGGGGCCCGGGAGAGGAGGCCCCGCGGTTTGAGGGAAGTCAGCTCTGCCCGGCAAGGGCCTGTACAGGCAGCACCTCACTCCAGGGAGAGCGGCAGCCAGCCCTGGAACAGCTTATGAAACAGCTGGGTCCTTGCATACTGCGGCGTTGGGTCACTGAGGTGTGACTTGTACAACCAGTTGGGACAGGGAGGGGAGCCAGAGTGGGGACTCACTCTTTTTAGAATTCTTAATGAGCACCCTAAAGCCTCAAAAAGGTCAACGACCTTCCCCTCAGGATTCGCTGGGGAGCCGGATCAATTTCTCCACCCCTGGGTCCCGCGGCAGGCACCGCCGGAACATCGGAAGGAAATCTGTCTTTGTCACACAAAGCACATATACTCTTTGTAGATAAAATGGTTTTTAAAAGAGAAGTGAAAAGGAAAGCCATGTTTGGAATTCCTCCTTCCAGAGGTTAACATTTGGTCTGACTTCTTAGATCACTATGTGTTTTATTTGTATTCTTACAGGGAATCATACTACCCACATTAACTGGACTTGCTTTTGGGCCTTGTTCAGGTCTATTGTGTCTTTCTTTGTCAAGAAAGTACGTATTCATAATGTAACTTTAAAAGAAGCATGAAAAGCTATTGTGAGGTTAGGTCATTATTTATTGAGAAGGTCCCCAGGAGGGTTTGCCTAAATTAGTTTATTTCTTTTCTTGTTGTTATTTGTTTGCTTGCTTTTCTAAGTCTTGCCTAGGACCTTAATTTCTTTCTTTAGGTTAGATTCCCCGGATTGGGAATGCTAGATTAAAGCTGTTTGATACTTTGTAGTGCTTACTTTCATTGGGACTTTAGTATTTTATGCATTTCCAGTCAACTCTCAGCTATTCAAGGGTGGGGGACAGGGGACTATGGAAATAGTGATGCATTTCCAATGTGCTCCTGTCTCCAGATGGTGCTCTCTGGACATTATCAAGGCTGCATCCAGAGTCATGTGGCCAGACTGGGCGGGATGGGCTGTCTGATTTCTCCCAATCTGGTCCTCGGTTTAAAATTTTTTCTTGTTGCTTACTGGAGCCATACACCAAAGGATGCTTCTATCTCTGCATCTTCTTGCTTCTGTGTAGAGTGTGTGTGTGTGTCTGTCTTTCTGTCTTCTCCCTCCCTCCCTCTCTCTCTCTCTCCCACCAGGAAACTCATGATTGACTGGTCCTGCCCCAGCCACAGAAGAGAGTCTCTGAGGCCAGGGCTTTGCTGTCCTCCTCTTCCTTTTCATACCCTGCCCTTCCAAGTCCCTTCCAAAACCTTCCCTGTAGGCCAGGCGCCCATCTAGCGCCATACTCCCTCAGCTCCCGGAGCCTCCCGTGACATTTAGTGAGTGTTCCGGGTTTGTTTGCAGAGCGAACAAAGGAAAATAAAAACCTAGGGGTAATGGAGTCGCCCGGGGGAAGGGCTACTTGACTTAATTACCCAGTAGCTTGCAAGCAAGATCGTCCCAGATGGATGGGTAGGCAAGAGAATTAGCTCTATTGATTTGTGAAGCTCACCGGGGGTGTATTGTGCCAAGAACTTCAGTTAAAAAAAAAAAAAAAAAAAAAAAAGGGAAATAAGACGCTAGGACTAGGAGATTTTGAAGAATACTTGAAGCCCTATCTCCAAACCGTTCAGGGGCGTTCCTTCTTTTCCATTGCTTGGGGAAACATCACCACAAATTATCTGGGTTATGCCCGGTCAGTTAAATAATTCTTCAACCGCAATTTTGCCAGCTGTGAAAATGGGACTCAGCAGGACTAAGTTTCTGAATTTTTAAATGACCTGCGCACAGTAAGTGCTTGATTCTGGTCGCGTGACCGCAAACGAGGCTTCTGGTGCTTCCCTCAGCCTTCCCATCTGAAGAGGTGCAACGATCCCTGGAGCGGGGTGGCGT